ATCATTTTAGGACAATATTCAGACCTATCCAAAGCGAGTCCTCCTGACGCGTTTCTCAGAGTGCTTTTACGAAACCGGCGCCTGAATTCGAAATTGGACAATCAGAGAATCAAACGCTGAACATATAATGGCGAGGCAGGGGATCATATTTATCAACATAATTAGATTAAAGTAAGGTTTATCACTCTTATTTGTTCTCATTGTTCGTTGTCTTAAATGTAAAATTTTTACAGGGTTCGCACTACGAAATCACATTCAATGCTTCTAGGATCACTATGTTCGTAACCTCTGTTAATGAGCGTATCACTGATACTCTGCGCGATGAATGGTGAATGTATGAATGTAGATTATCAATGGCCCCCGTGCATCAGAACAGTCACAGGTTTTCCCTGCCAGGATGGCTGGGAGAGTTATAGTTGGAATTTTCCTGGAGTGGGAGCGCAGTTATTGATTCTGTGTGGCGGGCGGCGAGTCGCAAGTGCATGGGACGATGCAAGCGGCGCCGGCTTGTTTGCATGCTTGCGCTGCTTGCTGTCGCAGGCCAGTGATGCGAACCATGCTGGAGACGCGCCTTGTGCTTTCTAAATTATTATCTGTTATAGGGAGGCCAAACAAAGATGGCATCGGGTCTGTTTAGTTACAGGCAGCAAGATGGTGTCTGGTCTGTTTAGTTAGAGGCACTAAGATGGTGTCTGGTCTAGTTAGTTAGAGGCACTAAGATGGTGTCTGGTCTAGTTAGTTAGAGGCACTAAGATGGTGTCTGGTCTGTTTAGTTAGAGGCACGAACTAAGATGGCGTGGGGTCCGTTTTATTTGGGTCATTACCTACGATGAGAGCGTTCATAAATTTATGCATATTCGGACCCGTATTATCTTGTGTACTTATTATTTCGATGTATTTAGACTAAGATTCTTCTAGACTGACTCAACTGACCGAATAACCTATAGATATCGTTAATAGGATACTGTATTTAAATGAAAGATAAATCGAAATCCTATTTATTTTCTCGTGTACGTATGAGAATCTTGATTCTATGAGCACAAATCCGAATAAACATTTCTAGCTGCTGTGGGGAGCGTTCGTGCGTGTAATTGCGTGTCATGAATACCACAGTGGCAGAGCAAGGTGCAGGTATTGACGCGCTCGTCCTCCCTAACTGTTCTGTCTCGTGATATCACTACATCATAGTGACATCACTACATCACTTGGTGATAGTGATGAAGCTATAAGCAGTCGTCAGTAATACGTCCTTTTAAAATTCAAATGTAATTAACACGTCACGTTTCTTATTTATTACGTCGCTTGGGTTTCTTTTGCCTCTATGTAGCATCACGTCTTCATTGCGTCACTGTGACGTCACGTCTTCATTGCGTCATTATTTCGTCAAATCTTCGTTTCGTTTTTGACGACATAGGTGAGAAGTTCCTTGCTGATAAGTAGAGAGGAGACTTATATTTCAATTATTATGTGATTAAATTATATTGCAGAACCACATCACATTTCTTTATTACTTCGCAATGTATGTCATTATTACATAAAATGCATTTCTAGCGCGTCATTTTACCGCAAATCGCGACTAATAATGCTGATGTAACGCACTATATCGCTACCAGTAATGCTAATGTAACGCACCATATCGCTACCAGTAATGCTAATGTAGCGCACCATATCGCTACCAATAATGCTAATGTAACGCACCATATCGCTACCAGTAATGCTAATGTAACGCACCATATCGCTACCAATAATGCTAATGTATCGTAGCGTATCGCAACCAATAATGCATTTCGCGACCAGTAATGGTGATATATTGCGTCACATCGCGACCAATTATATTCAGTTGACTGGAATGCCGAGCGCATTACACATATCTCGCCTCCAGAAATTCGTCATGTTGAACGTCTTGACCTGCAAATGTGAGAATTTCTTGGAAGGCATTTCTTTAAAGTTCAATTAGGTACTCAAATTTGGTTATTAGCTCAAATTTATTTATTTGTACAGTATTTTTAGCGACTTTGGTTGATTACAAGTGAGCATATAGTTTTATTACCGATAGAAAGGTGGGCTTGAATATGCCTTCAACCAAGAACTTGTGTATTCCATATTTGTCCATCCAAATGAACCTTTTTGTACCGTTCAAGCGAAATTAAAAACGATCTGGTATGTACATACATTCAAATAAATTTTCATTCTGTTTTAAAAAAGGTAAGATTGTTTTGATTGTTTGGAGCATTATTTGATCAGGTGTACCATCTCACAACACAAGCGTTCAACCATTTCTGAGCCGAAAACTTGTCCTACGAACAAGTAGGAGTTATACAGGTACTTGATTACAAAATTTAAACGCCTGTGCCTAGCCACAAATTCAATTTCCGGAAATTCCTGCAGAGCTACGGACTGTATATTCAATAAACGAGATGTTCGAGTCAGCATTGAAGACATGGTTCTGTGGATGATGCCGCAGCTGGCAGCACAGGTCGGCGGCAGCAGAAGAGGGAGAGAGCTGTGAAGGCCGAGCTTTCTTTAACCTTATTAGAGTCACAAGCGATGTCTCGTGCGACTGGTTATTGTTACTCTCTGCTGGCTCGCTCATGGGTTTACGCTCGCGTCAGTACGACTTCTTGGCACGGCACCGAAACTTCGTCATGAGCGTCAAAACTCACGACGCTGACGCAGGTGTCCAGCGGAGCGTCATGCTCTTCACACGTCTATTATACTAGTGATTAACTAGTTTACTAGAGGGTTTGATAGCTGAGGTGGTCGCTCTGGTGCTGCCTCCTTATATAGTGCCCAGATCATGTTTTTATTTTCCTGAGGTTGGGTTTTCGTTGGAAATCTTTACGTAAAATATGTGTGGAGAAAATTCATCAATGAATATCGCCAGGAAATTCTAACTGATTACTAATTCGAATGAATTAGATTTACTTTATTTGAAACAACTTTCTATTCATGAATCTTGACTGGAGCTTGTTCGGTATTTGAATTCGCGTTTGACACTATTTCGATGTTAAATGATCAGAAGTTTAAAGTTTTTATCGCAACCCTCCTTATTTTTTTTCGTTTTACCTTTTCTTTAGGTTCATCTCTTCACTATTTATTCGAGGCTTTTATTTTCTTTTGATACTGCGAATGCTCGTCCAATAAGACATGGTTGTCGGGGTGCCTGGTGTACCCATCAACTTTCCCGCACGCTCAAGCGCTGCCAGCTGACTGCTCGGAATGCCTTCTCATCGCAGGTAACCGAATGCTGGACAAAAAACCCGGAAAGGTAACAACGGTACTAACCACTTCTGCTGCCACAATGCCAAGGAATGCATGAAAAACGCGCCCGCTCTCAGGAAGGAATTCTCGACTGATCCTCTTGGGAATGGAAACACGCGGAAATTGATTCAAATGCTCCAACTCGGGCTTACTGTTAGTGAATGTTGAGAGGCATCGCAATCCCTGACTGGTCGCACGTTTTGCGATGCTGAAATACATTATAATAATGAGATGAAGAGATTTCAGTGTTTAATTTTCCTTGTAGGAGAATCAACGTGTTCATTCGCAATGGAAATTATGTGATAACTGTAACAGTCGCGGCCTGTCCTACTTATTTGGATTATTCTAATACATCGAAGATGTAAAGTTATAATTCTGGTACAACATAGTTGTATCAGAATTGTAGCCATTGTAGTAAACATAGTTGTGTTAGAATAACCAAAGTTGCCGTAGTTGAGAGTAGGTGTTTGCAATTAGAAGCGACTCGACATACTATTTTTGCCCAATTTACGATGCCATGCTCATATTTTTCGAGTGCGGGATGGATTGCGATCGAGTGCGGGATTCTTTCGGGATTCTGGGATTAAAGTGCGAGATTCTGGGATTGAATTTATCTCATTTCCCAGCGTGAATGGTTAGAGGGATCGCAGTTGCCGCAGTCCCAACTGTTAGAGGGATTGCAGTTGCCGAGGTCCCGACGTGAATGGTTAGAGGGATTGCAGTTGCCGTTGTCCCAACGTGAAGGTTAGAGGGATTGCAGTTGCCGAGGTCCCAACGTGAATGGTTAGAGGGATTGCAGTTGCCGAGGTCCCAACGTGAATGGTTAGAGGGATCGCAGTTGCCGAGGTCTCGACGCGACTCCACGATGTCATCAACCTCAGCTGCATGATGCGCAACCGCGTTCCACCTTTGCACGCTGCGTTACGCATCCTCTCCCCAAAAAATAAAAAATCCCACTTGCTTCCTTAATTTAGTGTCATCAGTTTCTGCTTCAAGAACGCGACGATATATGAAGAAAGTTGTAAAGTACGCGGTCTCCTAAAAAACTCATCTCGGAGATGCTTTAATCTGTCCTGCTTTATGTATTGATCACATGCGAAGTCCACGAAATCAATTAATCATACAGACTAAAATTTAGGATATCAACATTGAAGAGCTTCGAAATATACAACGCCCACGCTAGTTATATAGTGGTTTTGCATATCTCGTTGGATGGTTTGATACTTAGCAAACTTGAAAATTATCGTCCGTTTTAATGCGATTTTTTTTATTTGATCCGTTTTAATACGTGGTTTGAATTACGGATGAGAAGTTGAGAAGCGAAAATCGTATAACCTATATAGTTCCATTGATCTAAAAGCTTTTGATTCTTTCGTGAGTAAGTAATGATGCTGTTTTTATTCGAAACTTTTGTACCATAAAAATAGTTTTCTAATGCAGTATGCTTCCATTTCATTTGCGTTTGCTTCGTTCTCATGTTATTGGCGAAAAATTTTTCGGTGTGCAATTTGATCAATACTTTGCCCTCGCTACGGAATCACGAGGAGTACTTTGTGAGATTAGATCGTAATAGCATCAGCACTGCTGAACTTTTAAGTGATGAATTAACTGCCTCGTGTTATTGTGCTCACTTATAAGCACTACGGTATTCATCAATAAAACAAATTCTCTGGTCATTAATGAAACATGCCTAAAGGAACAAATTCTGCCAACCTATACTAATTTGTTTATGTGTGCAGGAAGTGAAGACGAACGACCGCGAGTTGGAGCGTCTGGCGGCAGACACAGAAGAGGAGGAGGAAGAAGATGACCCCGCCGACCCCGACTACGGCGCCGCCCCCACCAAGAGAAAAGCTGAGCCGCTCAGAGATGGCAAGCTGGGGGTCACCATCCATAAACAGGTCTTGTATTTAATGCGTTACTGGTCAGAGAAATAGTAATCAGGGCCTATACTTTCGAAAAAAGTTAAGAGATCGTAAGTTCATCCGCCAATCATTGGCGGCCTTTCAAGCCAAATCCACCAATCGTAGACAAGAAAATAGAGCGTAAGTACTTAAGTTCACTTAGCCAGGTTTGAAAGTATGGCCCCCTGTTACTGCAATTGACGCAGTGTATAATTTTATGTGTGTGAATATTGACTGATTTATTTTGCTGGTCTGCTTCGTTAGTCAACTTTAGCAGCCTGTTACTTTATGTCATTAATGGAGCGTTTTTTTTTTTTTCAGATCAAACAGGAGCGGCAGGAGGTCGAGAGCGACGTGGAGCCTTCAGACGTGCCTCTGTCGCCTCCCTCTTACAAGGTGCCGCGGCTGTCATCCTCTCCAGTAAAGAGCCCACTTAAAAGCCCTAAATACGAGGGCCTCAAATCCCCTAAAGTCAACCGCCCGGAGTTCTTTCAAAGTGACTGCAGCGCAAGTGATGGCAGCCCTGGCAAGAACAGCGCAGCCTCCCCACTCCGCGAATCCTCTAAACTCCCCTCTTCTCCCACCGGAAGTGTTTCTTCACCCACTCATTCCCTCTCTAAAGGCTCAGTGCACTCTAAATCCCCATCACAATCACCCATTAAACTCCCCTATTGCTCCCCCAACAAAGAATCGTCTTCCCCTGGTTCTCATCACACGCCCACACCTTTGTCCTCACCCAAACTTCCCAAGACTCCCCTCACGCCTTCATTTTCCCCAGAGGATCATCCCACTTCCCCTCGTCCCCCTAGCATTCCTCTAGCGTCACCTCGCACCCCAAGCATCCCCCCTTCGTCCCCTCGACACATGCACTCCCCCTGCGTGGACTTGAAGGAGGGCAAGGAGGCGTGCCCTAAGGAGCACCACGAGGAAGGCGTTTACGACGACGATGTTGAGGAGGAAGTCGAGGAAGAGGTCCGTTCTGCTGCTCTTTTATTAGCTGATTTTGAGCGAAGATTTTGCAATCCATTCAACCGACGCTCTCAGGAGATCACTATTTAACAGATATAAATTACCTCGGTTGAGATATTTCGTGCTCTTAGTGTTACCTTCTAGTCTCTGTCAATGACATGAGGATATGTGTAGTGAATTACTAGTTAGTTACCTCGCCTAGTTATCATATGTATCTTCGAATGCTAATTTTTTGTGTGTAATTCTTGACACACTAATTCGATCTTGATACTTTCTGTGTGGCAGGTTTTGGTGGCTCCTGACCCATCTTACTGGTACCAACGCAACCCTCTGGCTGATGAGATCTTCATCACGGACGTGACTGCTAACCTCATCACGGTCACCATCCGAGAGTGCAAAACCAAAGATGGCTTTTTCAAGACGTCTTCGCAGAGCACACCTCAGGGTGACGCTTCACCGTCAGTCGCGACGTCTCCTCAGGATATGGACTCCACGACGCCCCAGCAGCCGACGTCTGCTGCCGCCGTGACGGTCGCTGGGTCTCAGGAGTCTGGATGAGCTCATTTGCGTCACTCTGATAGTGGTTTCGTATTTACTGTTTCAGAGGAAATTTAATTGATTGGGTTTCGGACTTGTATCCATGCTCAGCAGACAGGGCGTATATTGTTGTTATTTGTGCGTGGATCAAGGCTGCAGAGAAACAGCGTTTGAGATTTTTTCTTTAGTCGAGCTACGTATAATTCTCTGCAGCTCGCGCTTCTTAATGGCGTTTTCTCGCTTTTGTGTTATTAGAATAATGTTGAAGTTCGTTGTAATGTTGGTATTATGTTCGTCTTATATTTTTGGTTATCTGGAGCATTTGATCATCCATTCCTCCATGGATCTAATTGAGGGGTGATCAATCCTAAGTCCGACGAAGAAATTATTTGTGCACAAATTATTTCGGGTCAAAATACGTCGTTGTGTTCACAAACAAAATAGCGGGATCTAGAAATTAATTTAAAAAACACTATGAATAGCAACCACAAGAATAACCAATATCTTCCAAAGTGATGTTACGAAATCCTTTTGCTTGTACCTTTGACCGACCTTTGTTCAGAGATAGGTTGAAGATGCGTTTACCTGCATGGCAGGGTAAGCTTTTTAGCGCATTTTCTTATTTTTGGAAAAAATGCACTTTTGTGCTCGCCATGTCTGTCTGTCTGTCCGTCCGTCTGTCCGTGACCTCAAGTTTTCGTCGACGAGAAAATGCGCTCTCTGTCACTCACTGCAGTGAGTACTGAGTTATATTTTTTTTTCCATCAGCGCATGGCTTTGAGGCCTCCAAAATAACGGGATTCATCGCCTTGTAATTCTGAGAGTCGGTCGCCAGATTAATGTGATGCATCAGTACGTTGGTTGGGTTTATAAATGTATTTTATCTTCCCGAACGTTTAGAATTTACGAATCTCGCTGAAATCTGTGCCTATGAGTAGATTATGGCTACCTTGTAATTATTCATGCTCTTCGTGTGCGTCTTTCTGGCCTTTTGTACATTCTTTCTTGACGCGTGTGGGGAGATTTCATTGTTACCGCGTAGCGTTGTTCTTGCATGAAGATCTTATTGAAAGTATCCAAACCTGTCAGCATTTTTTTATGTATAAGTGGCACTGTTTCTGTTCTTGCCAATGTGTATATTCATTTACGTGTTGGAGATTTATTTGAATTTATTGCGCCGCGGTTACCTCAAATGAACTTTTCCATTAGTTCTATTTTCAAATTTTGATTTCCCCAAAACTTGTTCCGTAAACACAGAAACTGGTCACCATAGCGCTACGGTAAATACATATTACTGGCTTCACACATGCATGTACATATAATATCTACTAGCTTTTTCTTAAATAATAATATTAATTTAGACTAGATCTCTGCATTGCCTGCTTCCGGATGCTGCCTTTGATGGTTACCTCGTAAATATTTATCCGAAGGTTTGGGAGGAACTTATATGCAACCTTTCCATGCACAACTATCCTAATCGCCAAAAAAACGTTCTAATTCCGATGCTTGATATTGTCTCGATTATTATCCAGCTCTCATGCGGTTCAACGCTCAATTTACGAATTTTCTTACGTTACTTTGGGAAGTGTTCAGAGCAGCTATGTCCTGTCGGGTAAGTTAGCTCGGCTCCTGCGTTACCAAATGATAGGATGCCACCTCGGGAGGCAGTGGTGCAGCAATTATGCGCATCACAGTTCCGTGGTCGCACACCTTGCAAAAACCGAATTGCCGAGAGAGATGTTCATCCAAATAACGAAGATTTGAATCCCCACTAGCGCTACACACTGGACGCTCCTTGGTCTTTTTCGTCATAATGTAGCGTTTGTGCCAGTTTGATAATTTTTCTTCTCATTTAAACCGAAGGTTGTCTCTATCTTGCTATCTCTCCCTCTACTCCGGAGTCAGCCAGTGTGTGAGAAGCATCTGGCCAAAGCATTGTACAAAGTTTTTAGGTCTACTGCAACGCTGCGAGCATGTGATTAAGTAAAATTTATTTTTCTCACGACGATATCGTTTTTTACCCAAAACCAACTCATTTACTTTGAATTTCGAATTATACATCGCTTTACAAATATTCGCCTTAACTCTCTACCGCCGTATGTCACTCTTCAGGAACATAACTTTCAACTTAAATTATACGTAAACTATTGACTGTAGCAACAACTTAAGGACGTTTGTACGCAACAGAGAACATTTTAAAGTTGTACATGGCGGCAACCATCAGTGCAAGTCATTTTACGTTCACTAAAACGTATCCTTTTTGGGAAGTAGGCTTGTGACAATATTGCTCCGCTTACTCGTGTCAGGCGGTACAGGGTTAAATATCTTCTCTAGATTGCAGTAATAAGACCAACTAGCAAACATTACTGCCAGCAAGACGACGGATTTGAGATCAAATTAATTGAATGCTCATTTAAATTTCAGGAGCAATAATCTATGATTAAATGAATTTCAATTTAGATGAAAAATTAATTATTTTGATTAAATGAATTTCAATTTAGATGAAAAATTAATTATTTTGACCAGCAGAATATTATGCACCAAAGAAATATGATTGCCCATTTGGGTTGCACCTAACATGGGCAACTGAGAGCTCGAGTGTCCTTCAATACGAGAGAATTAATCAGGAATGAAACTTTCCCAAGCGACATATTTCAAGATAGGATACCCCAGAACATATAGATGTCTACAGAAACGCGGAGTCTGTTGATGAAGGGTTACGAGTGACAATAACTCGTAACAGTTAACAACACACAGTTTCAACTTGAAAATTGGCAACGGAGGCCCCAGAATGTGAATTATGGCAGGTATTAAAATCTGTACCAGAGGAAGAGAAAAGGTGCAATGCATTTTGAAGTTTAGGGCGAGTTGTACTACAATACAGACATGAAACATTTAAAACATCTGGTGATCATAAGTGACTAACGACCACGAACTAAAGGCTATTGCAGCGTTACCTACCAGCGCAATTGGCGAAAAGACTATAGGTTCTCCAAAGCAAATTATTCAACGTCAAATTAGTAAAGCAATTATCACCAGCAAGCGGCGGTATGTCGCAAATGCTCAGCGAGCTGATAGCTTCTGTAGCAGTTAACTCAAAAACAATTTTAACGAAAATGCAGACTGAGAAGATTGTATAGACAAATTTATACATGGGGGTTAAACAAGTTACAACTTTTTCTTATTAAACCGAAGGTAAATGACAATAAAAATGTCCTGCCTTATCCGGAAGCCGTCAATGTGCGAATAATAATCAAAATTCGGAAGACGTTGAAGTTACTTATATAATACGTCTTACGAGTGAGACCACAACTATAAGAATGAAGTTTAAGTTAAGAAAAGTAGATGAGCATAATACGATGCCCTTACTAACTAAGCCTCGAAAAGTATTTATTTTCAGGTTTACTTTATAAACGACAAACATATTAATGTATTCCAAACCCTCAGCGACTTGAAATACTACTGTACTGTTGTGACTTCCTTGAACGGAAGTCACAACACATATACAAAAGAAAGGCGCAAAAGAGAGTGTAATTTTTAAATACAGATTTACGACGTTGTTTCCGATAAACGTGCCAACCAAAAATATTATTTGGTATAGATAGATGAAGGCTTTTGGGACATTCACCGCCATACATAGATTGCCTCGGGATCGACACGTTTACTGGAGCGAATACTTTCTCTCGAACACACGTTTTAGTTTAACATTAATTAATGCTAATTTAATACTATTTTACATATATTTTAATGCTGATTTTGTGATAAAATAGGATCGATTGTAGGTCTCTGATCAACAATGTTTTTGGCTGCGATGATTCATAATGAATGATTTTGTTTCTTTGATCACGCTGCACGCACCAACGATCAGGGCCATTGATACACTGTCAATATATTTCATGTTAAAACAAGCTGTCCGGTGTCAATCAGGCGTCTCATTCTTTTCATTATAATTATATTCTAAGATTAAATCATCCTTAATTGAGTCGTGATATTCACTAAACGTGGTAGAGATTGATGGAAAAGTACTGGACCTGAGTTAGCAACGTCATAAACTTAAACCTGTATATAACTCTTTAAACCGAATATAACTCTTTTCATTTTACCACCCCGTATTAAGGCAATTTCTTTTATAGACCTTATTTTGATACGAGGTGTAATACATGAGAGTTATATAAGAGGTATAAGGCTAAGACGTCGACCGTTAGGTCGGAGTAGCTCTAACGCGAGTTACATGGCGGCAAACTTGTCAGCTACAGGAGGCCATACTAAGGTTCCCAGCCCTTTTATAGAATCACGGCTTCCGCCCACTGCTGAAGTCTTGATCGCGTGATGTGTTACGCGATGTTGTCCAGACGCTGACTCAGGTCTAGTACTTTTCCATGACTCTCTACCACGTCTAGTGAATATTACGTTTCAATTACAGATGATCTAATCTTAAAATATAATTGTAATGAATAGAATGAGGTGTCTGATTGACACCGGACAAAGCAGAAGAGTTGACACGAAGAACGTTAGCAAGAAACACTGATGACTAGGAGTGAATTACTCTAATGAATTGAAAAAGATTATCATAAAGAAGATCTATTTAACGTACACGAGTTCGCCTGAATGCCTAGTGGCATATTAATTAACAATGCATATGCCACTACACTAGAAAAAACCTACGGTAGATCGGGACAAATGAATTACCTAAATATTCACAAGTAGGTAATTAAAAATTCCCTACTTTCATGAAAGCCCTCGACATACACAGAAGCAATAACCATTGCACAATGTCAGATCACGAATGATACGGTGACTTCACACGGAAGAAATAACACTCGAGAAAAACTAAAAAACTACCTTAAGACGTTCAAGTGAACAAGTAAAGCTTAATATTTCATGAGACACCGTCGAAAGAAGGCAACAATTACTCAGCTCATAGTTACACTGGTAAGCTAAATGACGGTAGCCTCCTTTTTGGCACAATAAAATGGACTGCGAACGCACCGTGTCAAAGTCACGAACTTGCCCGGAATAAGAACAGGCATTTGATGATACGTGAAGTAAAATACTCGTGTACGGCAAAATTTGAGTAAATAGAAGAATTATTTGTGTCTTCTCGGCGTGTGAAGAATTTAATTATTTGCCTTTAGAATAATTATTCAATCACATTTTTTTTTGTACAAAGCCTGCCATTCTGATATAATAGAAAACAAACAAATTGCAACTCAATCTTGATAACTGAATAAAAATAGGCCACTCTGTCTAGTCTACAGCATAAACATGACAAAATTAACAGATTACAATGACACAAAAAACAAACTTGACAGTTTCTAAAAAGTTGAATGATCTGCTCCAATTTCTACAACTGTAAAAAAGGCAAATTTTCCAATTGTTTGCATAGACCATCAGCAGAGGTCAGTAACACGACACCAGGCCTTCTTAAGAAACGTATTTGAAGAGCAAAATTTGCAAAGATTGAGCAATAATAATGGAAGGAAGGTCATGGCGGCCATTAAGCTGCTCGGTAGATTAGTTACCCCTTAAATTAGTGATCCAAAAAATGTTGTGGAAAATCTGCGTGAGGAAAAGTATGCGGACTCGAAAAGTTGCTCGACAATTTCATGAGTGAGGTTCCTTATGAGATTTCAGCGTTTGCGGCAATGCCCTTTGATGGCTACGTGTCAAATACATATGCTGACGCGTAAAAATTATATTACAATAAACTTATCTTCACTGCCTCATTTGAACGAAAATTTGCTGTTGCTTAAGACAGAAAATAGCCAAGAGACACCTCTGACGGGGCTCCAATACCAAGGAGACGGAGATTCAATATTCAAATCACCAGAATTAGCTATAGATGCGGGAGTGTCGTCCAGGCTACAGCCGTCAGGTTCACTTGCGTCGACAGTGCGAGGATTCTCCTCAGATTCAGACTGACTCTTGACAACAGCCGGCCAAAGAAGCCAGCCGTAAAGATAATACAGCAGCGAAGAACTTTGCTCTTCAATTATTGGATCACCTGGTCCTCTTTCATCCGATTCAGATTTAGAATTTTTGTCCACGGAGCCAGGCGTTGGATCAAGCGGCTTTATTACTGTGTCTCCATCACTTTGTCTTGATTTGAGAAGCCCTGACGGAGCTTCAACAAAAACTGAGTAGAGCCAAGTCTTCCACGAATTCGGAGTTTCACCCTCGTCTTTTTCAGACGTACTTTGGACGTTTTCATCTTCTTGTTCATGGTTTTGTGTTGTAGATTGGCAGTTGGAGTCCGGGATGCACTCCGCAGCAGGAACACAAGTGGGCGTTGATATATTATCATCCCTAATGTCTTCATGGTGAAAAAACGGCAAATTTTCATCAGTAGCTGCAGGAACAGAAGCAGCAAGAAGCCCACGACCTGTCCTCATGTCATGGTCCGCCTTCAGCACCTCCCTCATAGCCTCGAACAACTGCCGCACGAGTTCAGGATTCATTGGCGATAGTCGGTTCTCTTCATACCTGTTTTGTCTTGTGACTAAATCTTTCATTTTGTTCAGTGACTCTTCCCTTCTCACCTTGCTTTGCATTCGGAAATAATCCAACTTGTTCTTAAGGACTTTAATTCGAGCAATCATAGGGTTTCCATCATCGAGTTTGTCGAGTGTCTCGGAAATGATTTCATCCAGTCTACGTAGAAATGATCCATCAGAAGCCTGGGAAGGAGTCATTTCGCCGAGACCTTCCATCAGGTACTTAATAGTTGCGTCGTCCAGCGCAGCTCCAGGTTTCTTGAACTGTTCCTGCTCCTCTTTCTCCTCGGCACTCTGAGAAGCGTCCTGCACGTCGAGTTTGGCGGCCTCCAGCATAGCGCCAGGCAGAGAGGTGTACACAAGCTGGCCTGCCTCGGCGCGGCTCTGCATGTCCATCGATGCAGTGTGAAGTCGTTTCAAAAAGTTTGGGAAAGCTGGAAAATGGAGAAACTTGTAAGTCTAAAAAAACAGGTCATGGATCATTAAAAAAAAAAACAAAACTAAAAAAAACTGGTCATTGATCAGGTTTCCGATTTAATTTCTTAGAAATCTCCATCCGCAACAGCTTACCTGTGGACGCAATGAAGTTGGTGATGCTGGCTGGTAAACTGGTGCCAGGATTGTCAAAGTATGATAGCACATACTCAATGCCAGGCTGCCAAAAAAGATGTAGAAATAACGTCAACATTTTTATATTTCATACCAAATAAAAATTTGGATACTGCTCAAGAACTCGTACTTTCATAAAGACAAACAAACACTTGTCCTAAGCTGAATGCTGCGTAACACCTGGATGGCGCTTTATCATTTATAACCGGATCAAATGAGTTCTCGTTTTATTGCAAACTGGTCATTTGACAGAAACTAGTTTGGTATTTATACAGAAAATAAAGGTGTTGAAATCATGGGATTGCAAGCCAGCAGCAAGAAGTAACTTATCACATAATTACTGCTAGTTAACTTGGTGACGCCAGAGCACTGTAAGCCAGCAACAAGATATCACTAGTCACGTAATCAATGCTAGTTACCTTAGTGACGCCAGAGCACTGCAAGCCAGCAACAAGATGTCACTAGCCACGTAATCAGTGCTAGTTACCTTAGTGACGCCAGGGTACTTACTGCGAGCGAGCAACAAGATGTCACTAGTCACGTAATCAATGCTAGTTACCTTAGTGAAGTCAGCGTTCCTGGCCCTGACGACCATGACACTCCAGTACTGGTGGACACGATGCACTCCGGCCACCTCACTGACGCCGCTCTGTTGGGGCGCCGCCTCGCTCACGATCACAACCTCCCGCCGCGTCGCGTCCGCGCGGTAGCGCCGCTTGAATACGTAGTCCCGGTCCGCAAAAAACCTCTGCATTCATACACGTGACTGATGTTTAAATGCTTCAACTGAATAGGCATAGCGATATGAACATCAGGAAATGGAGAGAGTACCAAATCGTTCACTACGAACATTTTGAAGTACAACAACCTCATAATTAGTTATAACTAAACTAACTAACGTTTTCAAAAAAGGAAGACTTTAATTGAATTTAAAGACGTTAACAGCATTGCATCGATTCAAACGGAGTTCTTATAGATACGGACTAAGAAGATGAAGATTTATACAGAGATTTAAAATTAATAAATATGGTATTCGCTAACTTGAAACATCTGCAAAGGAAAATATAGTATAAATAATATAATTACTTCTGCAAATTAAACAAATTACAGTTATCTATTAGCATCCGGAATTAAGAATGTACCGGAAATTTGACAAGCCAGTAAAGGAGATCTTGAGCAGAATATTCTCTGTGGTGGTCGTGATTATGTTGCTGCTGCTGCTGCTGCTGCTGGAGTTGCTGATCTGAATGGACAACGCGCAGGTCCAGGGCAGAAGGGTCCCACTCTGTCCTGTAGCTCGTGCTAAGCTGAGTCTCCACGAAGGCGCACAGGCTCACGTCGTCATAGCGGCCGTACACTGTGGGTAATCAGCGCTAGATAATGACTGTAAATGAGGTCTAGTATCACCACCAGAGTGCAGAGCATCAAGTCAAGGAAATATACGAGTCGTGGCATGGAAATAACCATATTCCTGATGCTCTAATAAGAAGGGCATGGATAAAATTCTCGGTTGGTGGTGAAGAAAAAATTTATCTCAGTTTGCAGAATGAATATTAATTTACACAAGTTTCCCCGGACAGTACCTAGGTATCAGGGGATACAGTAGACATGTTCCGGAACATCATGCAACGAGAAAATAATACAAAGTAATTCCTCTCTCCTTTCTAGACATTTTCTGTTATAATAAATTCCTTGCATTTCTAGTGCATGATGATATTCTAAAATTAATTCAGAATTTCAGGAAATAATAAACTAAATAAAACTTGTAAAAAAACCTTTGTAGGCAAAAAGATGAGGCCAGGTTTGGTGAGGACGACGCCAAACCAAAATATTTTTGCGCTCAAGAAATGGTCGCCAGCCATCAAATGATCGCTCCCACTCAACATTGTTGCCTTCTTTACAGCTGCAGTAGTCCACACCTGCCACCTCAACAGGCAAGAACAAAACAAGTTAAACTTTACAATACTAAACTTTATCAATTTCACGCTCTAGAACCAGACAAACAGATAAAGTGTTTATTTTCAATCCAGGTAAAGATTACTGATTAAAAATTCTAAACATTTAGCATGAGATATATTTACTGCTAGTAATCCGTTACAATGAAATCAATAATAAGGTAGATATCATGTATACACAAAACCTTATGGTAAATTTTATAGGGGAAAAATAGGTCTTGTGGCGTTCACTACATACAAGTATAAAAAGAGTATAAGACAGCAAAAAAGTAAATAAAATAAACTGGCTAAAAATTTTCACCTCCTCTTGCAAGACCTGTCGCTTGCCACACACAGGACAAGTCACTGTAGCCTCTATTAAAGCAGAGATACCATCAATCTGATTCTCCTCTCTGCACCTGCAAGTGGAGCATAAAAGTGAAACACATCAACTTTCTTCACTTAAATACTAGCCTCTTTACATTGGCTGTACCTACATGACTTATTTATTTTAATGTAGTTGATGTGAATTGACAACTATTTGCAAAAGCCTTTATTTCAATCAACACAAAATAAGAGAAAATTCATGTGAAAGAACATTATATGAAATATGTTAGCATAATGACACCACAAGAGGTTCTTCTTTAAAAAATATCAATCATTTTCCATTGCAAAATAGAATATCCCAGCTTTAACACGTCAGCTTGAACTTGTGGCTGACTTGCTCCTACCTCTCAACATCACCATCTGTAATGCCATTACTGTCAAAGTCAAACTTCTGGACAAGGCAGACGGCTCCAAGCAGCATACTGGCACATTGTCGGGAGAAGCACTTGCCTGCGGGTTGCCCAACAAGCCTTAAAACTCTTAGCCAACACTGTAAAAGAAAATAGCAAGTCAAGGCTGAAAGCAATGGTTCAGAGTCATATTTAAAGATTCATTTCAATTGTCTTGCAGAAAAAAATTATCAAAAATTATTGGTGCCAAATATGATTCTCCAATTTTAAGTACATCAAAATGATCAAATGTCATACAAATGTTTCTTTGAAAATTGAAGCATCTATTGCAATGAATAAGCTTAGACTTTGATTAATAATACTCAACTAAAAATTAAAGTCATTAATTTAAAAACAATGCAACAAAATGATCAAAGAATTAATTGAGAATACTCAAAAAGTTTTGGCACATTTCATTTCATGTCATTGAGATCATAGGTACTACTATCTTACTAATAAATAAATACCTGTGAATGTTTGAAGAGTGCAGCAAGGAAAGAAAACTTCCTTCTGGATATCAATCTGCTTCCAGTTGATGCAACACAATTTGTTGCAGAGCTTTGCAGGGCCACAGGCTTGATGGCAATTTTTTGTAACCTCCTCCACGTCCATGGTAATTGATCATAATACCATTTTTGTCTTTGAACAAAGAGGAATGGTTTTCCAGCAACAAGACATTGTCTCATTGTACAAAATTCTAAAAAGTTTGAAGAATGAAAAGAGATTGAATGTTGCTACTAGAAATTATGGGATTTTAAAAAATTTAAATATAGTAGTTCATAGATATATAGTCATTTTTTCCAAATTTCCAATTGTCAAGCACACAGAGGACAGCCAAACTGCCAAAGCAATGTGCGTACGTATTAGTATGAACTTCTAGAAGAAAGGAGAGATAGATAAAATAAAGGCAGGGGGGGGTTGCCATTTGCCAAAAAGGATGCCACTGCCACTCTGCCAGTAGGTAGTTTCACTTTCTCCCACACAAGGGTCATGACTTGTAGGGAAATCCAGGCAAGCAATATGAGGCTAAGTAGTTTCATGAAGTCACCATCACACTGTCCCAGTGTGGTAGTGTCCACACTCCACAGTCCACACACTCACACAGACTGTGACAGACATGGTCCACACTCAGTCAGCCTGAGTCAAGGACTCAAGGGACTCAGGGCACTGGGCAAGCCGCAAACAGTGATTGACTGATTGGCATATGCCACAGCCTCACAGGCTCACACAGTCACAGCAAGCATGGAAAACTTCTACCATTAGGGCTGCAACTAGAGCTTTCCTGCGGCCGGCCATTTTCGTAACCATGCAATTTCCGCCAGATGAATTAACTCCTATCTAATTGTTAACAAAAGTGCAGGATCAGGGCATCAGGCTGCGAGATTCCAAAATCCAAATGTATTGAAAATTTGTCCAGTTGGAGCTGCCAATTTCAGAAACAAGTAGGAAAATTCCAATCCTGCCTCACAGTCTCACAGAAAACCTGGATCATGGATGATGCCAAATTTTTTTGCCAACTTGCCAAGGAACTGCAGTGACTTGACTAATTGACTTGACCCATGGTCAGGAAGATGTGCCAGGTGCACGGGAATTTATTTTGTCATTTTAATGACCTGCGCGGTGCGCCGTACTACGTTGGTAAAAAAATGCGCCGTGCGCCGTACTTTAGAAAGCTAAAATAGTTCTACTATTTTAGTCGATAATATACGCGAGTTATATGGCAGCTGTGCAATGATCGGCACAAATATACTATGCATTTCCTACTTATTACAGCAGACAGCTGATATGGCTACCTATGCCTGTGCACTGTGCCAGCTGTGCAGACTGCAGACAGTGCAGTGAACTTGTGAAGTTTGCACGGCAGACACACTGTGCACTGTGCAGACTACTCCTGTTCCTGTTTATGTTTAGGACCACTAATTTACAGTCATGCAGCAGAAGTTGAGACTTGAGCAGAACATTGTTTAATTCTATAAGAAAAGTAATATAGAAGAACATATTAATTATAGTATTTTGAGATTTTGAACCGATCAATGCTACTTTACGTAAGTTTACGATCATGAGGATGAATGGATGATCCATGACTCCAGTCTCCAGCATCCAACTCAGATTCGCACTTGCATTCTTGCACGGCAAGCTCAGAAGCGCTGGCTCTCGCCTCTCGCTCCTTTCAACTGAATTATGAAATAAGATTGAAAATAGTTGTCGGGTAATGTTAACCGCTTATACTATCAACTTATCAAGCCGTCAGCTAGAACTTTCCCCATGTACAACAGTACAGGCACGTTTACGTTTAGGCGGTTTAGCTTTATCTCCACGGTGATTCCACCTTCACTTACGGATGAGCCGGTAACAAATCATAACCAAAGCAAGCCTCAGAACAGACTAAAATGTAGACGCGGACTCGGATAAGTGGTAAAATTTGCACGGCCATACAATTTCATGTCATGGGCTATGTTAGAAACAATCATGGTTGAACTATATAAGGCTGACCCATGAGAAGTTACGCCTTTCGGTTCAGCTTTCTTGTTGCGTCATTGAGATCGAGAAACGTAAACAAACCCGTCATTCCCATGACGGATTGGTTGACTCATGGTTGAACTATATAATCATAATAATAGCGGTTTCAGCGTTTAGAAGGCCTTAGGCCTGTAGCCGATTCTTAACATCGCAGAACCTTCACACCTTGATGTGGTCTCGGACTCGCAACTCACTGCTACAATTCTGCTGTGCTTCACCGCCCGGCCTCCTTGCCGATTCTGACCAGAAACTGGCGCACAGAGCTGGGATCGAACCCGCGGTTAATGCCTGTGACGTCACTGAGATCAGTGATGTCAAATAAGCAAACAACGAACTACATCCGCAAAAATGGGCTTCTGTTGGGTCAACCTTATACTAGTTCAACCATGAGGTTGACCCACGAGGAATTCCGCCTTTCAGTTCAGCTTTCTTGTTGCGTCACTGAGATCGAGAAACGTAAACAAACCCGTCATTCCCATGACGGATTGGTTGACTGGTTTGAACGCATTTCGGTGATTGGTTAATGCCCGTGACGTCACTGAGATCTGTGACGTCACATGCGAACAAAAAGCTCCATCCGCGAAAATGAGCTTCTCGTGGGTCAACCTTATACTAGTTCAACAATGGGTTGACTGGTTTGATCGCATTTCGGTGATTGGTTAATAACCGTGAAGTCATTGAGATCAGTGACGTCAAATGCGAACAAAAAGCTCCTTCCGCGAAACTTAACTTCTCATGGGCCAGCAATAACCCAGGGTTAAGACAAGTTCCGGTTTTGATGAGTGGTTGCATTCATAACGATATCTGATTGGTCAATTCATGTTTGATCTCTGGCTGCTATTTATGGCTCCATTAACTCGGCGGAGCAATTGCTGGGTCTGCGGTCAGCTGCTGCATCCCTCGGCCCTTCAGCCTGCGGCCCCTCTTGGTATTCATCGTACCGCCCTCCGCACCTCGCACGTTCAACCCAAAGCGACGTAGCGGTCGAAAGAAACGTCCTGCTCTGACACAAACGTGTGCGGGCTCAACGGGGTAGGGAAAAGTTGACTTGCTTTTTCTCCCGTTTATTTCATATACTTGAGTGACGTAAGCTGAGTGACGTAAGCTGAAAATAAGATTTAATTTAATGAGCTATAGCAACATATATTAAGGGTAACACTGGGAGGGCTCGTGGAGCAACACACTACTCGCTCGAGCTCTAGACGCCTACTGTTGAGGCAGTGACGCTGCTAGGAACGCGGGAACCGTTTGAGGGTGAGGGATGGCTGCGTTCACGTGGTGGTAATTTCGTTGATCTTTGCGATATTTTCCACGCACTTGTGGAGTGAACGCCGGGATGAGTGAAGATTTTAAGAAAGAATAGATGAGGATAGGAAAACTTAGTGCGTTGAATCTGACGAGTGACGAACGACGTCACATGCTCTCATTTACATGACAATCGGCAATAACGGCGCATTCTTTGTCAGTCGTAATAGACTATTGACCCGGCAGCAGTCATTTCGCTCGAAATAGAAGTCTACGAATATTTTTGCAGGATACCTGAAACCGGCCAGTACCGACCCGTGTCATCATAATTGGAATCGCGTTCACGTTGATCGTCATTCTGAGCCGTCGTGTTGAATGTTATTGTTCGACTGTCTGAACATCTGGTTGCTAAATAATCAGGTTGATGAGCTTCTTCACATCCGTCACGCACATTCACTCTACGTCATCTTCCTGGCCGAGACCTCGTACCATGCTGACTCTATTTCCATAGCGCGTCTTTGAGCTGAAAGACTCTAGGTAGCCCAGCACATAGGGCCCACCACTAGACCTGAAGGCAGCAGTCGGCTATAGCCTGCACCTATCATGCTTTACATCTGTTAGAATAAACGTATCGCCTATCTGCAACATGTACTGCGAGTTGTCGGATTCTAGCGTAATTTTTATGTCTCTTGCCTTATTTCTCTGTAAGAGGAAGCACCCGATTCTCCTATAGCTCTCGCTCTGTTGCTTTTTGTCTTCGGCTTGAGCAGGTTGCTCTTAGTTTCGGTGATATAATTAAACCTTAGCAGAAGACTTGGCTTTCATTAAATCCCACAACCGTGAGACTATCATGCCATCGCACAGTGAAAGCTATACAACATCAGCACCCGACCGTCGAGCTACTGTGTTTTAAATTCGCCTGCTCATCGTTGACATGCGTCACTGCCATCATCTATTGTAAAGATCCTTCTAGCAGATCTTTAAGAATCGTGGAGGACAGTAACTGACACGCGGTTTCGTGATAGTTTTTAACCGGTTTCTGAAAATCAATACAAAAAAGCAGTAAATAGAAAGTAACAAAGATAATGACAAAATTCATATTCATCAGTAAATCAAACTAATTATACAGCTAATAATCAAGTCTTACCAAATTACTGGAGGATCGGCATACTTAAACTATTCAGCTGACAGACAGATCGTTTCTAATCGAGTCCGTACAGGTAACATTNGGTGGATGTCCGGAAAGATCCAAGGCGTTCAATTCAGTGCTTATTGGTGCACACAATTGGTGGTGCACGACATCATGAAGTCGTCCTTGGCAGCGTGAATTGTGAGTGCAACCAAATTCTGTGCTTCACATAGAAAAACTCATAAATCCAAAAATTTTTCTTGCTAAGAGAGAAAGTAGGTCATTTGTGCGAGTGTGAACATTTTAGATTGTCTAGGTTTTTATTGCAGAGATATGTATTTCAGTACATTTGCTTTTCTTGCTCGCGTAATAAAGTGAAGCGGTGAGATTTGGAAATGTGGGTATGTGGGTACAAAGATCATTTAAAATCGTTGCATTTTAGTGAGCTTCTTGACACAAATGACACACTCTAGTAGGTCACATTGAACCACTCTTAAAATAATTAAGGGTTCTTTACTCTTGAGTGAATAAATTAGCAAAAATCGTTAGAAAAGAAAATGTTCTCAAAATTAAAATCGCTTCTCCGGGGCAGGGGGCGTCAGAGTAGACAATTAAACCACGTTTTGTCTACAGAATCTTGTTCCTTTTAGTTTATATTCATGAATTTCCTGGCTGTGGCGGAATGCATTTAGATGTTCGTGTCACTCCTAGATATTTAGTTTGGTATTTCTGGCTGTACTACGTTTACCAGTGAAGTCAATTTATGTTGCCTTGTATTAACGACCGTATATAGCAGTAGCGTTCAATACAATACATAGGGTACTATAAGCTGTCAAGGTATTTCAGCGTTTCTGGTTGCCTTGCCGGCGTGATTTTGCTGAATATTAGGTTAATTATACGTTCCTTCACTACATTGTACGTTCCTCAAGACAGCGATTGCTACAATTCAGTTGTGATTGCTAAAATCCCATTCTGTCAGATTGCTGTATATGATTGCCGCTCCCCATGATTGCTAAATAGTGATGACTACAATCCAGAGAAAGTATCCATCTATAAACCAATGGTCCAGAACCAGGTAATTTTGTGAACAATTGTCCTGCTCGATTGTATTTCGAAGGTTCATGTGCTTCTATGCCATTAATGCCAATTGTTTGGCCCACTATTGGAACTCAAGTTTGGGTTTTTTTCTCAAGGACATTCTGAGTTTGAACTAAATTCAAGTAAAGTGGTCGGCTAATTTTCATTCAAGTTCGAGTTTTTGGAAACAACTTGCAATTAATCAATCGTTTTTTGAAGAGTGATAAGCTGTTTTCCATTTGCGAGCTTTCATATAACAAGTTGCTGTGTGAGCAGGATGTGGTGGTATATTCTCCAGTTGAAATTCTAATATTTCAAATTCAGGCGATACAGTCATATATGTTGTAAAGAAATTTCTCAACTATTAAATAAAGGAGCTTCCCCAAATATCAATCAAGTTCATATAGATGTAGCTATTGGAAAACCTCAGAGGGGTTCATCTCTCTAACATAAGCTTGTTCCAGTTCACTAGCTTGACAGCAGGAATATTTGAACATATCTAAGAATTTGTACTAATTATATTAGTAAACTCATGTCTAATTATGAGATTCATACTCTAATTAAGACTGGTACTCTGAACATTGTTGTTGATTACAACTTACAAGACAAGTGGACGCGTCGAGTCAACAATATATGCACGAATTTCTAATAAATTTCATTCAGCAGAAGCATCGATTATCTTGCGTAAATGTCAAACATGAAATTTCGATCCAATTGTTTTCATTTTTGGAATAACACTCTCAGTTGTTATCATTTCAGATATAACTCCCTCAATCGTCATTCAAGAACTAACGCTCTCCGTTGTTATCATTCATGATACTACGCTCTAAGTTATCATCAAAAAAATTATGGCCTCATTTGATATCATTCACGTAAATTAAGCGCTAGATTGTTCATATTCAGGGAATTACTGGCGCTGTTATAATTCACGCAACTTTTTTACAAATGTTTGTACACATGAATTCACAGTCCAATCTGCAATCCATTTGTCTCTTCGTGATGAAAAATCATGAAACCCTCGCCAGGCTGATTGGCAATGCTACTTTTGTCTCTTGAGGTCAAAAAGATTACTTAAAAGAAAAACGAATCAATACAAAAAAAAAACAGTACCCAAAACGAATCAGTCAACGGCAACTCATTATTTTCCGTGGTCACAAAAGATGATTGGAATATTTTAATAACACCAATTCGGTTCTTGCCAGCAAATTAGGTAGCAAATTCGGTACGAGTCCAAAAGTATGTCAAACAAATGCATAGTTTGTCACCTTAGGAGGGATTTCCATCGTCAAATGAAGATACAGGAGAAATTTCACCCAAAATTCTTGATGCTAGGGACATGGTTCAACCATGGCTAGGGAAACCTAGTACTAGTTCAACCATGGCTAGGGAAATGTTTGCAGTCAGGTTTAATTAGGTTATGAGTCAGGATTAATTTAATGAAGTTCGGAATTGATCGTCATAAAACTACAGGACGTCAGACTGCAAACAAATTTGTGTTAATTTATAAATTCAAAATTTTCTATATATTGTTACCTTTTGTAGGCGACAGAAATTTTAATCAGATCAGGTTCGCACAGACACTCAGGAATGAACGTTGAGTTTTGCCTTCCAAAATTCGTTCCGCTGATGATCGTGCATCAGGGCCACACGAATGCATATCTAATGAAAAAGCTGATGAGTCTGGAGTATCATTCGTTTAAATTGCTTTCATGTTTTCTATAGTTGAGCTTTGTTAATGTTATGTACTAAAACAAATTTTCCTTATCATAAATTAAACAAAGGTGTGTTGAACTTCATAAACAGAGGCGTATTGAATTTGTTTTAATTGTAACTCGTTTCTAGCTGAAACTTGAGAGCTTGTCTGAAATGGGAATTTGTTGTCTTGTGTTGCCATGTTTTCAGCTAATCTATAAATTAACTCATCGACGTACAACTCCATGATGCTTGGTAAAACTTCGATGTACGACGCTCTACCATAAGGACTAAAACCCCTGCCGTGCTACGCGCGTGCCGATAAGTGGAAATTTATAATTGAAAACTAAGCCAAGACCGATCATGGCCAAGGTCTTCTTGCCAGCGTCATTAGCGGACGAACGTAGAAGGTGAGACGTCGTGTCTGCTTTCGTCTACACTCTACCCTCAATGACGATTATATCTCCACGTCACTCAAGTCGCAGGCCCTCAATAGAAATGATTTTTATGAACAAAACTGAGATAAACAAACAGCATTTTAGTCGTCATTTTAAACAGCATTTTAGTCATCATGTGGTTATCGTAACATACAAATCGTAGTTCTGCCCTATATTAGCGATTTTGGATGGTAAGGGTAATAACACAGGGGGCAGTTAATCGCCAAAACGAACTGTAGGTGCCGGGGATCGAACCAGGGACTTGTCATATGCACACTCTACCACTGACCATAATTGTACGATTTGAGTGACGAGCGGCGCAGTTTCTGCAGAGTGGCGACTTGGGTGTCGACGGTAGATGCTGTATATCGATAAATTGTTGTTAATTTAATTGTATTAATTACAATTTAATTGTAATTAAATTAACGACAAATTGTTTTACGAATTTCGTTTTGAATATCACTCCAGAATTTATTATTTTTTGTATCAATTGAACAAAGCCTAAGATACTTACAGCTTTGACTAGTATTGTTTCGTGCTGTAATTAGCGTGGCAGCCAGTATTCAAATGATAATTCGATTTTTTGAGAAGATATAAAATCGCAACAATTGACAATGAAACCGTTTTTCCTACATCGTTCCTAATTATAGGAAGAAAAAATAAAGATCCGAAGCTTTATTTCTTTACTTTGGTTCGTTTCTAATTATAACCCAAAAATGCACGTTTAATGGAGAGTGCTCCACCAATTTTGTGAACCAATAAGCCCTGAATCGAACGCCCTGGATCTCTCCGGACATTTACCAATCAGCCGTGAACCACTCGGCTTTGTCCTCCTCCAGCCTTGCATAAAACCTGCCGTGCACCACCAGACTGCGGATCGAATGTGACTTCCGGGCATCGTTGAATTACGTAATTTTACGTTCACCGCATCTGAGGTTAGGTTTCAGATAGCGTAGTTCTGTTCCAAAATTTATCGTTCTTCGACGAGTGGCCGTTCGACCGAGGGCTACGCTCCCGTTCGACGCACGGCCTAGATATGATTGTCCGGAAGTGTTGAAATCTACGTTCCGGGAGGCAGCATTCATGATGGTCCATTACATCCAGGGCAGTGGTGGTCTTCGGCAGGCGACCCATTCAATGCATAGGCGAGACACGGACGGCTTGGTGATGGGCATCATAATCACTGCAAGGCAGACGATGCTAGGTCATGCTTTAGCAGGCTGCTTTCCCGTGGGCTAATTGATCTACTCCAATGGATGTAAACTGTCTGGTGGCTTGGTCCAGAATTGTCGGAGGCTACGTTCTTGAAGGAAGGGATCCTGACAGTCGATTCGAGCACTGCATGCAGTGGTGGTCTCCGACAGCTAGGTGTTCCGCTTTGTGCAACTAATTTGTGCATTACTCTATGAATTCACTTGCGGAGTAGGAGTTATGCGGACACTTGCGCAAAACGTTTGGTTCGGAAATTTCAGGCCAAAATTTATCCAAAGTTTCGGCCCAGAAGTGTTGAAGAAGATGGAAGAAACCCTATAAGAAGAGTCAAGTGGTTCCCATCTTTGTTAGGCATGGTGTATAATTTAACCTATCGTTACTCGAATATAGAAATTTATCGTAGAGCGCATTTGTCACGAATAGAAATTTATCCTAGAGCGCATTTGCCTCCTAATTATGCGAGATACATGTTATATAACCAAATAACATTTGCAGTGCGAGCGATGGGTGCGGCAGAGGTGGTTGCGTGGTGCCTGCTGGTCAGTTGGCTGCCAGCGTCGGTGGTAGGCGTGTGGTCGCATCGCTATGACCTCCTCTCCTTCTACGGCTACTGGATCGCTCACCCCAATGAAACCTCTCTTGTTTATTCTCCTCGTACGTCAACCCTGCTAGCGTAACTGTCAATAATTTGAGTTCAATCACTGCTTTCTCCCTCGACAATGTAAAGTCTTTGATTTATCTAAATAGACTTCTTATATTTTAGTTGTACGTTGGCACTGTGGGCGTCCCTATGTTAATTTCTTCTAATTACTTTGAAACTGACTGTCATATTTAATGTATGGTACCGTATCTTGTGCATCAGAAACGCCAATTCCTATGTCCTTGATTCTTAACGCGCATATGAATGTTAAATAGGTACCTTAAAATTTACAGAATAATCAAATGCAGGCATTAAAGCATACGCAAAGAATAAAATGTCTCTGTATTTGCCATATTAAAATATTGTTAACCGATATATGTACTATATACAGTCTCAAAAATATTGATCGACGATAGAAAATAGCGATCATCACTCGATTCGATTTCATTAACCGAACCAGAAAATTCATTGATTCTAACTCGTCAATTGAATCATGAAAAAAATTCTAAAAAAAATTCAGACGAAAACATACTTTCGTTTCAACTGCAGGATCTTGCCGCGCCCTCTGCGTGTTGGATGAGGGATGCTCCGCGTCATCGGCCTCGCCCTCGGACAAACGAGGGGAGTTCGAGTGCAGAGTCAGCCACGTCGCCGAGGCTCACCGCACCATCTTCCCTCATGCAGACTCCGTCGCCTTCATCAAAGAAAGTAGGTCTAACTCGCCAGTCATCTGACGTTGAAATAACGTTGAATAAACGTGATTGCAATTAAATCAACTTTATTTAACGTTATTCGCATGGGTGACAGCGAGTTCGTTCCTTACATGCAAATAACTTTGAAGCAAAGTTGCATTGAACATATTCTGAGTCTATATGCACAATTAACGTTGATTCAAGCCTGGTGGGTTGTTATATATTGTAGTGAGTGTGTTTTTGTTTCACAGAAAATACGAGTGAAGAGAAAGTGAGATACGAGAGATCCTTTGCAAGGATTTCCAAAAGAGAGAGTATTAATAAGAGTGCAAAAGAGTGATGTTGAGAGCACGCGAGGATGTGAATGGGTATAGAAAAGAGTAATGTTGAGGCCGCGAGAAGGCCTCATAGACTGAACTTTACATAGTAAATCTCGTTCCAATGATGTTGCTCAGTGATTGTTGTGTAAATAGTGACACTAATGGTAATAGTAATTGTCGTTATGCGTTTGAAAGCCTAATCTGGCATATGGCCGACTCTAAAAATAGCGAGAATTTGCACAGCGTGCACGTATATATGTATTGCAATTTGAAACCACAGCTCGCTGCTTCAACTTGAATGTTCTCAACCACCCGCGGCCACCTCGACCCTTTCGGCCAGAATTTTTTGTATTACTAACCCATACCAGAGTCAAAGATCAACGTGTATTCTTGGTCAGTTTGACAAAGTGTGGCCCGGAAAAAGAGCGTACTAGTGCAACATGCAGAAAGTGGATCACTATTTGGATTATTTGACCCATTTTTTTCTCAGTGTAATGTCCAGAAAGCCAAGATGCAAATCTTTCTCATTGTTTTCATTTCAATGTGTTATATACATTGTGTTCATCAATACAGTCCTGAAATAAATTAAACATTTAACAATCTATTTTAATTTTTAAATTAAATTTTTAATTTAATTTTAACAATCTATTTACTAAGGGAAGCCCAAGTTGTTCTTCTGGAGCGATGGCAAAGACTTCACACCGAGCGGCTTCAGCAACCTCTGCTCCAGCAAAGGAGGAAAATTAGGGATCATTTCTACCATCCAGGACATCGAATACATCAAGAACAACATCATGGCAGGTGCGTGGAGATTTGTTTTGGTAGAATTATTTGCTAGCGATATTAATTAGTCAATATTAATTGTTCATTATGTGTTCATCTACTGGATCATTAAAGCCCGTCATACGATGACAGAGGTGGACGATCAGTACGGCTTCTTCATCCCTCTGGTCGGCAAGAAGGTGAACGGTACTGCATCTCAAGTGCGTTGGTTGGAGGTAGAACACGGGGTTGACGATACCTACCATCCCCTGAACCTCTTTTTCTCCGACAGCAGCTCCGACAATGGCTTAGTTTGTCACAAAATCAGCTCTAGGAACGGACTCACTCTGCGACGAATCAACTGTGGCATTGGATCAAGGGAAAAGCTGTTGTGCTACAAGTATCAGGACTAATCATGCGATTTAGAATCTAGTGAATGAGATCAAATTATTATCACTTGAGTTCCAAAAATTTGTATTATGTAATCGCCGTTTTTTTTATAGAAATTGCACCGAATTTACAGAAAATTTCGCATAGTAAATGATTGAAATTTCACGTTTTGAATGGAAATGACATGCACATGCAAGTAGAATATCTCTACTCAGCCATTGTCTCAGCCATGAGGCCTGATCTCTTCAAAATTATTCAACTATTACCTCTGTTATTACGGTCATGGAACTATGGCAGAATCAGAGGTGGGCAGTAGCGCGCTACATGTAGCGGCCGCTACATTTTCAGTAGCGGTAGCGGTGCTACATTTAAGCAATTGTAGCGGTAGCAGTAGCGCCCGCTTCATTTAGAGCACGTAGCGGTAGCGGTAGCGGCCGCTACATTTCAAAGTAACGCTGCCCAGCTCTGGGCAGAATCGAATATTTTCGATTCGGGAACTCGAAACTCATGACACTAGTACGTCGCTGTACAAATTGTACGTACCACATTAGTTTCGTGTTTCCGAATCTTGGAATCTTGCTTGACGGAAATTAAATTATCAAAACATCGTTTAATATCACCGGAGGATCATATCTAGTCCCATGGTATTTCGATAATAATAAGATGTATTTTTACTACGTTTTTCTTAGCTCGCTTTCGTGTCTGTGATGATCAAATCTTGCAATCGATATTTCACCAACTTTCCCATTAGCTAGCGCTCTGAAACTTTTAGGGTAGCTCAGCTCTCGATAACAATACAATAATCAATAATTTGTTGCACGTTTCCAGGCGTATAAACTCTAAAGGAACTCACAAGCAGGGGTTGGAACCTTTAATGCACGTCATCCTCGAGAGGATATTCGTGTTTAGACTGCGTATATCGATGATACGCTTCGTATCATCGATACGTACATCAAGTCAAGTAAATTTGTACGCATGAAAGACACAGAGTTTTTCGCACATGTATTTCAGAACTGGTATGTACAAACGCGTTGTGCCGTGTAGTCTTCTCGGGGCCCTTCTCCAGCCGTGTAGTCTTCTCTAAAACATGAACGAACAGAAGATTAAAATGATGAAACCTAAAGTCAGGGAAAGTTTTTACGAAAACGGAAAACTCTTCACGCAAATTGAATGAGTCCAAATTTAATTACAAGTACTAAAATGATAATTTCTCATTTGTAATAATTGATATTATTCCCGAACACTTTTACTGTTTATACTACCAAAAAATTACTTTCTCACATCATTTCACAGAATAAAAATGTATTCCATTCAGTCAATGATAAATGATAATTATTGTCATGGATAATCAATTCAAGAGTAAATGGTTTGATTCGTATACAAAAAGTGCTAGATCACAAAAAGTAAAAATACTGATCAATGAATGTCTTCATGCATGCGAGTTTTATGCACCTCTTCTCAGAATATAAATTGTCGATCAGTGTTAAATCTTACTTATTCAATATTTTAAGACGATGACATCCATCAATTTATTGCAGCACTAAATAAAGTTAATGATGAATCCAGAAAATAACTGAGACCTCTATTCGTAAATTTGCTATTTTGTGTTCAAGTTTCTTAAAAAGTACCAACATTTCGTTGCTTCATATTAAACTTTTTTTGTCATAAGATTCTATTAGATTCGGTTTTGTCAAATTTGATGTGTGCATTGATAGTAACAAGTTGAAAGTTTAATTGCAGCTCCAGCTTTAATTTTATCAGACAGGACATTCATGCCTTGAAACAGTATAAAATTCTTCAGAAATAAAAGAGATGAAAGCACCGAGGATTTCCTTTCAGTGTCCTATTTTTACGGTACTTGTCATAAATAAATTATATTATCAATTCATTCAAAACTATCGATCAGTATTCGCAGTAGAAATCATTACAGCTGATCAAGCTGTGAGCTTCATTATTCAATCCGACCCCAAATTTTAGGAAAAAAGGGAAGAAGAGCGATGAAGGGAATTTAAAAGGAGTTTGAACGAAGAACTTGAATCAGATGAAGAGCCACAGCTTGTGGATTTGTCGAAACATCCATGCAGGACTACAACGCAAGCGTGGATGAGGAGAAGAAGAAAGATTAATTAAACGAAGTTCCCAGGAGAGAAAGTAAACCCAACGGAGACGAACGTTTCGAGCTCGTGGCGAAGCATTCGGATGGCCTGGCATCGTCGTCGTCGTCGATTATGATGGTAATTGTGATTGTACAGATGAAATCAGAAAGAAATATCCACAGAGCAAGAAATGTTCAGTTATAGAAACCCTCTGTTCAGGACAAGGCGTCTACGGATACGTTGTAAGTGTCACACGTGACACCTATATAATATACGTTATCGTAGAATGTTCACAGTTTCAATTCGCTTGACTCTTTGACATATGCAAGACTTTCTTTTAATTTCAGTGTGTTCGCAATGAATTCATTAATCGTACGACAGAATGTCGCATAATTACTGTCTCGGAATGTACCCGTGACGCGGAATATACATATGATTGGATTTGCTAATTGTTAGACGCAAGAAAGATAAACGCAATTCTGCGACATGATAGTTAACGAAAACCTCGTTAGGTTAGTGTTAGAGGTGTAAAAAATAGTTTTTACAAACTCTTTTACAATTCTACTAAGGTNGGTAAAATAAAAATTTTTTACAATCTACAAAACACCGTTTGGTAGTTAGGAATGTATATGGAAAATTTCGTTCAAATCTGTTCGGTAGTTTGGAAGAAATTCTTTGATCACTGCGTCTCAATTGACACGTAGGATTTCTGTAGACAGTACGGTGCCCCAGTCTTGGCCGCCGCTCCCAGCTCTGTATTAGGGTAGGATTTGCTGTCTTTAAGTATATAAGAGTTGATATCATTGTTTGTGTCATTCTCCTTGTTAAATCATACTGCCAGTATAGAGAATCTCCATCGCGCCATTTTTGACCACTCGGAACAATAAAACCAACCTGACAGTAGAATGTTTATGTATACAACTCTGCTGAGGATAAACTGAAATCGATAACTTACCGTAGGCTTTAAATCGTACAGTAAAAATAAATATTGAAGGCCAATACCGAGCTCAAGAAATCAAAGTCAACCAAATATATTCAATTAGGAGTAAAAGATTCTTCCAGTCTAATCAACCCAACGGAGCCGAACGTCTAGAGCTCTTGGAGAAGCATTCGGATGGCCTGGCATCATCGTCGTCGATTATGATGGTAATTGTGATTGTACAGATGGTATCAGAAAGAAATATCCACAGAGCAAGAAATGTTCAGTTATGGAAACCCTCTGTTCAGGACAAGGCGTCTACGGCTACGTTGTAAGAGTCACACGTGACACCTATATAATATACGTTATCGTAGAATGCTCACAGTTTGCCGAGCCCGGAACCGCTCCAATAGCTGCTCCAGTTTCAATTCACTTGGCTCTTTGTCAGATGCAGACTTTCTTTTAATTTCAGTGTGTTCGCCATGGATTCATTCACCGTACGACAGAATGTCGCACAATTACTGTCTCGGAATGTACCCGTGACGCGGAATATACCTATGATTGGATTTGCTAATTGTTAGACGCAAGAAAGATAAACGCAATTCTGCGACATGATAGTTAACGAAAACCTCGTTAGGTTAGTGTTAGAGGTGTAAAAAATAGTTTTTACAAACTCTTTTACAATTCTACTAAGGTTGGGTCCAGCCAGCAAAGGTTCTTTTACCTTAAATAACTCATTGAAACACGTCAACTAATCATGGACGCGGTATTACCAATTAATGTATAATAATAACGAGCTAGAACGCGTAGTTCAGGTGGCTGCTAACGCTTATGTTCGGTTCGGCACCAGTTACAACCATCGGAAGTACGTGCTACGACGCGTCGTCCCGATAATAGCATGGGGATAAATGTGACGCATCGGCTATATCATAAATCGCGATGTATGGAGAAGCATAATTGGCGACCGTGTGGGGGCTGTCTCTTATACACATCTAGATGTGTATAAGAGACAGATGTAACATTTGTGTTGCGCACAGCGCCATGCAACATTTATGTTGCATNGGCCTATGTCTTCAACGCCGACACTTCTATTCTATAGTGATGTCAACACCATGAAGGTGCTGACGTGATGTTGCACGATCCTGCCGGAGCAGCGGCCGGTATGAGAGTGAGCTCTGAGAGGGGGCAGAAGTGAGCTGCGAGAGATCTACCGGAAATTAATGTTGCCAACAGAAGAAGTGATTCGTTAGCATGGATTCTTTACATTTTTTCCTAAATATAAAAGTAGTTATGGAGCGAGATCTGCAACAAGCCTACAACCGCCATACAGTGGCATCCACCTCGATCGTACCTCAGCGTTTTTGGTGCAACGAAATCGGCGTCCTCGACATAAGTTGCGACATTCAGAAACCCTTGACCGAAGGAACTTGGCCGGCCGATTAGAAAGAAGCTCAAGTGACACCATTAAAAAAATTACAATAGTAGCCAAAAAAGTAACAAATTTAGAAAGAAGCCGGAACATGAAATTGGAAGGCAATAATCGTAACAGAGTGTGTTTTTGGTAAAAATCTATGAGTTGAATATACGTAGATCTAGGGCGTTATTTACGATTTAAAATTTTTATCTCGAGAAAATAAACCAATTACATTGCATTGTAAATTGGACTTCAAAATTTAGTGTAGATCGTTAGTGAAATAGGGAATAGTAATTGACACAAAACAATACTTAACGCACTCTAGAGGATTATGTCACAAATTTCAGGAAGCCTCCAGAGTCATTGTGGAAGGTTAACGAGGTCCAGATAGATAGGGTAATCAGGAGAGTTGATGCAGGATAGGTTAAAATTTATTCCGGTAGTTAGAGAATAATAGTGCTAGGAAATACATACTGGACCGTTTAATAAACCGTCGAATCAAAACAAGCGAAATGCTAATAAAACGCAGGAAGGAAATATGTGAGATGTTATAAGATATTTTTTTTATAAGATATTATAGATATTAAGACTGGTCATGATCAACTGGCTTACAATGTCGATCATATTTCCTTTTTATTTGCTCTATTTTATGTTGACGCACAGAGGGTTTCCAGGTGAATTTTACATAATTAAAGCATAAGGAAGTATAAAAATAGGTACTGTTTCGTTCTAATGATACTCGTGAATCACTACAATACTTATACGCTGCGCAACTGCCTTCACGTTGTAAGGTAGTTAGAGTTCACTTAGAATATTCTAGTCAAGCAACGCAATCTTGCACAGTCGGAAAACTGTCGTATTGCTGTAAGCCTTTCGCATTTATGTCCGAAGGTGAAGTCTAAACAATTCAAATGTAAACAACGCGCCTGAAAAATGGCCGAATAAAACTGAGAAAATAGGGTATTATTGCAGATTAACTACATCCAAAAAAAGGGTGTTTTTTTTTTTTAATTATATGTTTTTTGGGGTGTAGATTACGAATCTGAAATCCATTTTTGGCGGTCGGCATCGGAAAACCGATTCGCAGTGCAGTGGCGTAGCCGTAGTGCAGGCCTGCAGGGGGACTTCTCACTACGGGGACTCCTGCAGCCCTCGCTCATTACTGCTGTGCTGAGTGCCGACTGCCGTCTGCAGAGTGGCTAGTGAGTGCTCTAAGCTCAACGGAGCCTCAACCTGTCTACTGTATTCAGTATTGGTGAACTGTATTTTTCCTCTAGGTCATATTTTTTCAAAATTTTATATAAAAGCAAATGATCCATTGTTATCCTATTTCATGAGCCCTGCAGTTCTTTTGAATTAGTCTATTAGAGTTTAGTTTAGGGCTGTTTGAGGTGCAAACTAAAATTTTTTGTTGAATAGGCCTATTCCTTTTTATTTGCCACTTTCTATTTTCAGAAAAGTTGGTTTCAAATTTCAATATCTTCCACAATGGGTAAAATGACAGCAAGGCGACCTGAGCATCAATCACCACCTGATATTGTAAGTTTCTATTTTCTAAGAAATAATTTGTAAGACATTGCTTCTAGTAAGCAAGATTGACATTTTATTACTTATTGATGAAACCTCAATAATGAATGAATCCTCAAGTGACATATTTGAGAGAAATTTTGAATGATCATTGATCAGGGCATCAGGCCCCTGGCCGGGGTGTTGCCCCGCCCCCAGACCGGGACCAGGTCTCATAGAGTGGCAATAGTTGTCAGACTGTCAGAATATTGACAACTTTTGCTGAAGTTAATGACCAATTTTTTAAACTTTACAACAACTGGCAAGCTAAACTATTATGTCATTTATCTTTTTCAACAACTGCCAACTAGTGAAAACTGAGAAGGCAATTTTCATGCTGCCAACTGGAGCCAACAGCTCGACTCCCAGGGTGCAGAGGGTGCAAGCAGTGTCGCCAAGCATAGTGGCAAACCAGTTATTTTTTAGAATCAGTTCATTTTTAATTTCCTCATTTACCCAAGATTTTAACAGATTTCTTATGTATGATAATTCTGGTATCCAAGATACTTTACTGGTCTACTTATAAGACTAAAAAATGAACTTGAGGAAGAGTCTAGAAAACTCTCTGCTTTGCCACTATGTTGCCAAGATATGGTTTTTCAGCCAAAAGCATTGCCGGCCATTTTCAAGATCTGTAGCCGGATAATTTTTAATAAGAAAGTGCTGCAAGCTACTTTGATAGTACATCCTTTACTATCCACACAGTGAAACACACACAACCTAACTGACAAGCTTCACTGCATCCTGATCTTTCCAGTGTACCGGAAACCTTACTGCATGCACTTGCAGTCCTTCAGATTTCCAGTAATTTTAAAGTTATTTCTCATATGCAATAATTTCAATCTAAATGTGTCAATGTGTTGGCAAGATCTTCAGAATGAGTTAATTTTGCTGCCAATGTGTGGCCAAAGATCTTGCAATATTCACCTACTTTCTGCACAGTAGCCCGACTCAACAAACTTGTGATCCACCAGGGTATTACAAGGGGATGTAAAATGTTCAGCTCTGGGTCAACGTAACCATCATATGAAAGTATTGAAGCTTGCAAAAATAATTGGACAGATGATGCCAGTGTTTTTTTTTCACTTAGAATTTTCTGCATGTTATACTTTTATTTCAACCTTGACATGTAAGAGCTTTTAGGTGTTGCAGTGTTTTTATGCATGATACTCATGCATATTAACCAATTATGTAAATCTGAAAGTTTGTATGCAAAATATTACAATATTTGTGTACATGAAATTCAAGCACTTGAACTTACTACGCACATTTGAAAGCCTGTATGAAATATATTGCTCGATGAAACTTCATAAAACTTAACGGTGATGTTTAGCTTGTGAATTTTTTTTCCATTTCACCTTGATTCATGAGTTATACAAAAATTTGAGCCAAAATTTGCAGTGACCAAGAAATTTTTGTTACTGATCTCTTTAGTGTCAAAGTCACCTTAGTGTTACTGATCTCTGTTCTCTTAAGTGTCAAAGTGCATGTGTATCATCAATACAGACATTGTAATATATTGCATACAGGCTTTCAGTTGTGTATAGTAAGTTGAAGTGCATGAATTTCATGCACACAAACGTCATAATATTTTGCATACAAACATTCAGATTTATGTAATTGGTTAAAATGCATGTGCATCATGCATAAAAACACTACAATATATTACAGACCTATAGGCTCTTACATGTCAAGGTTGAAATTAAAATATAACACGCAGAAAATTTCCTTAGAAAGTTTGGTTCTAACTTGTAAGTGGAAAAACACTGGCGTCATCTGTCCGGTTATTTTTGCAAGCTTCAATACCTCTACATGATAGTTACGTTGTCGCGGAGCTGAACATTTTACATCCACTCATAATGCGCTTGTAGATCATAAGTTTATCTTGTTGGGGCTGTTGGCTCCTGGTGGCGGCATGAAAATTGCCTTCTCACTAATTGGCAGTCATTGAAAAAGATAAATGACCTATTAGTTTAGCTCGCCAGTTGTGGTAAAGTCTAAAAAATTCATTGTTAATTTCAGCAAAAGTTGTCAATATTCTGATGACTATGGCCACTCTATGAGACCTGGGGAGCCATCATGCTTTTTTGATATTTGCATGGATAACTTTTCTAGCAAGCCAATCTCAAATCTGCTGGACCTGATTTTAGAAAAATTTCTGGTAAAAACTTATTTATTGGTAATTTTAAAAAATTGTCATATTTTGGATAGCATATTAGCTTTTGCCCAATTTTTCAGATTGGCTTGCTACCACTTTCAGAAGTGACTTTCAATGTATTTTTTATTATGGATGTGTTTTTTAGCAGGTATATATGTTATTCTTAAATAACAACTAATGACCAATGAAACATCATTATTTCAAGTATCAAGAAGATATTCTATTAATATTTTGGATTTTATGATAGTAATAATTATTCACATGAGATATGACTGAAAACTGGGTGCATTTCTGCATTTAGTGCCTACATTATTGTTAAAAGTATGTGCAACCTAATTGGGAAAATTTGGCAGCAGTGACCTGTAAATCAGACAAAATGCCTGTAAATCTGGCCTATTTTGCCATTCCTATTTCCTTATGATTCCAATGCCCTTTTCAAAATTTATTCAGCAAAAAATTGGACAAAGGCTTATCATGGTGCAATTTTAGGATTGGCAGTGGTTATTGGTCTTGGCAAAGGATGCCTGGTCTTGGTCTGCACTACCCCCACAGCAAAACCAGGGTGGTAGTGATTTCAGCACCTGGGGAATGGACTTTTGACTGACCAAAGTTGGGAATTTAGGTAATTCAATTTTAGATCAAAGCCAAATAGTCATATAATAAATTTTTTATATTCAATGTAAAGTTAATTTCTAATAAATAATATAAAATGTAATTATTTTCTTCTATTTCATATTTAGAATGAAGTATAACTTTACCAAGTATCAATGTTGAAGTAGTACCAAAAATGGTGAAGTTGCCATTTTCTCAAAGTTGGCTGAGTAATACCGTACAATACAATGTACACATATTCAATACAATCTACACCAATCGTGATGTACCAAGTAAATTAAAAATTAAAGAATTTGGCAATTCAATATCTTATTCACATAGGTTGCAAAATTCTTCAATGCTGCACAGACTACCAGTTATGACAACAAGAGAGTTAGGAGCTTGCTGTCAGACATTGCACTGTACATTGCTCAAAGCAAAATGGCATGCGATGCCCTCAAGCCTTGAAACTTTGTCATGACAAGCAATTCCTCATGAAGCAAGTGTTTTTCTAAATGATTTGTGGGCCATTCTAGACTTAAAATATGCTTCTTTATATACAATATCTAGTTCTTTAACCTAGCAATCAATGTGAAGAGGCTTTTGTAAACCATAAATTTTATAGGACCGAGTGGACCTTTTGGTTCTGAAAGCGTTTCTGAGTTATGTTTGTAGTCAAATTATAATTTATTTAATAAGTATATATGATAAGTGAGATGCTTTAAAGTTCCTCAACGTTAACAGCATTTAAATCAATGTTAACAGCATGTTTGCTTCTTTCTGACATTAATTTATTTGTTTCAGTTTTACAATGAAGAAGAAGCTCAAAAATATACACGAAAGTAAGTACTATAAAATTTTAGTAGATCTTGTTGACATGTGCTGAATAAGATATATTCTGGTCACTATAACATCATATGGATTGGAGCGATATGTATGCTCATACCTATTTTGATTATGTTGCATCAGAAAATCAATTTGCATTCGGTTTCAAAATTGTGTTGGGGCATTTGTTATTCATGATTGTCATTCATTTCATATGTTATTCATGATAGTTGTTAATTTTATGTGCCTCATTGTATAACTTTAAAAGTACCAAATGATGTTTGATGTTCTACAATTTTTATGTTTTATCAGCACCAGAATAATGGACGTTCAGAGTCAATGCAGTGTGAGGGCCCTTGAGCTGCTTGCCTTGCCTCCCGACCAGCCTTCAATATTGCTTGATTTGGGATGTGGTTCGGGGCTGTCAGGGGAAGCAATCACAGAACAAGGACACTTCTGGGTTGGGTTGGATATTTCTCAAGCCATGCTGGGTGAGCATTTTTATTCGATGTATTTCTGCCTTATTTTCATCATCCTTGCTAATTTCTTTAGTGTAAATAATAAAATTTGTATGAAAAATTTGCTGATCAGATAATGCAATTAAGATACACGTAAGATTAACAACATTTAAGATTAGGTAAATTTTTGCCAATCCTTCACTAAAGCTGATTCTTCATTATTCCAGCATAAGGCAAACCAATTTTTTGTGAACATTTCATCTGAAAAAGTACCTATTTGAGCATCTTTATTCAGATCAGACTGGGCATATGAGTGCGTCTGTGTTTTACGGCATCATTTTGTCCTCGCCTGTCATTTGGTGTTGAGTTTGAAGTCGCTGGTGATTATTTTTATTATTGCATTCATTCTAATCATGTCCTCTCAGCTTTGTCTCGTCACGCCAACGCAATATGTGCTGCAAGCAACTTCAGCTTAGCTCTTCTATTGATTTTGAGCCACATTACAATCACCATAAATATTAATCATTGAGGACTTGACTTAGTTGACGAATTAGTTTTGTAACAGATGACAAAGTTGAATTGAAAACAATAGCGCATAACTATGAGGTGCTGGTACTATTGACAAAAACATTTAAATGATTTAAATGATCAACTGAACAACATTTAAATGATCAACTAAAACCAAGACTGATGTTGGTTAGCCCGCATATTAAAATTTCATGGTGCAGTGCTAGCGTACCAATGAACATTGTATTTTTTAGGTTTGTTAGTCACATTATGCAGCATTCCAGATGTTGCCCTTGAACGCAGTGCTGAGGGAGACATGCTGCTCAGTGACCTGGGCCACGGAGTGCCCTTCCGCCCCGCCATGTTCGACGGGGCCGTGAGCTTGATTTTGTGAATTAATAAAATTAGGCCGTTTCCTATATATTAGTATAAATAGCAATGTTTTGAAAATAGTCAAGATTTCTTGAAAGAAACTGGAACGAAATTAAATTATCTCGCGATGCCGTGGAAGAGAACATCGGAATTTTTCAAATCTTACTGTAGAGATAAATTTAAAGAATTTGAAATTATTTGTTGACTTCGCAGCAGAGTACTTTTGAAATCGGCACATTGAGTCTTTATTTCTTTAACATTTTAGGCTCAGAACAGCGCGTGTCGAGCCTCAGCGGAAGAAGCACGCACGGCAGCTGTTCGCCAGCACAGAGAACAACAGAGACAAGCGGACGAGCAACAGAGACGGCGTCTGTTGGCTCTGTGGGAGCGCCAACAGACGCTCGTAGAAAACAGGAAAAGGGAACGCGAACAAGCTGCTAGGAAGGTGAATACATTTGTATAACTTACTTTTAGTCCTCACAGTTAATTTTTTTGCGGGTTACTTTGGAAAATAAATGCTCGAATTTGGCTTTAACTTTTAATCCTCACAGTTGATTTTTTTGCGGGTTAATTTGGAAAAAAATGCTCGATTTTGGCTCTTCAATAGATTACTTATTAACTAGATGTATTTCAATTTTATGGTGAGCAGACCTTGTGGTGTTTTGTTCAGTTATTGGGACTTAGATGTTTTACACCTCATTAAAGTAAAATAATTTACAGCTAGCATTATCAGTTTGCTTGTCTTCTTGATGCACGCCGGATAGGTTATATGCTATTCATTAGAAATTTATAATTTTGAAAATAAATTTTCGATTGATTATCTTATCTAGTGTAGCTAATTTTTTTTAATCCAATTGAAATTAGATAATTCGCTCGTGAAGCCTTGATCATTAAATCAATAATAAAAGTTACTGACCGAATTAATCCATGACAAATTTCAAAGCATGATTGTGATAGGATTTAAAGTGAGAGGATTATCAAGATGTGAATGTTCTGCGATGTTAAGAATCGGCGACATTCCTACGGCCTAATAAACGCAGAAACCGATATTATCATTATTATTATAAATTATAGTCTTTAATTTGATTCATTTGATGGAAAAAATCCTTAATCGTTCTATATTTCAAAACATTTTTTATCCGTTCCCTCGTCTTTTTCTTAGCTTGAATACTACATTTAATTTGTGGATTGTTAACGTACGCCGTTACCTCTTAGATAAATTTTGTAACGAATTTTTATTTGTTGCATTGACCAATACCTCATGATGAAAATGCGTCCTTGAAAATAGTTCCACTCTCGTATTGATGTAGGAATGGGTCACGTTTCAACGAGTTTTAAATGAGTTTCGTTTCCTCAGAGTCGTGGCAGCAGGGCAGTGTTTCAGTTCTACCCAGAGAGCGACCAGCAGGTGTCACTCATAGTCAAGCAAGCCACGAAGGCTGGATTCACAGGTGGCGTCGTTGTTGACTATCCTAATTCTACGAAGGCAAAGAAGCTTTACTTGGTACTTATGTGTGGGGGGTCTGCGCCCCTGCCGCAAGGGCTACAGGATGAAGGCGTGCCTGAGGCCGCATACAACAGAAGGTCAGTGATACCTCGAAGAATTTACAAAATAAAAACGTTAATCTTGTTGTGGCGAAACGACTTTAGTTTTTTTAATACACATGTTTGGGTGAAAAGTAGTTCAAAAAACGTAACGTATTTTTAAATGCGTATTGACGTATTCCATTGCCGGTAAGAGATTACTTTAACACGTTGACTACGATTACTTCATCTTGTACAATTATTTCATTTTTTTGTACTTTTTTTTAAGCAGGGTTGCCAGACGGTCATTTTTTCCGGACAAATTCCGTGATTTAGTTTTTCTCAATTGCGTTGGCCGGCTAAAATTTATGATAGGGGTATTTTCTAATTAAATTTTAAATACTGCAAAAAGAGAATAAATGGAATTTTTATAGCGGAACCTACAAATAAACTAGTATACATTAAATTATCGGCCTTTTTTGTTCTCGGATTTGGCCGATTTTAGGCAACCTGAATTATGTACCACTACGTCCTGGAGAAATACATTTCGTGGTACGCATATGTACCAATTCGTAGTCAACGTGTTAAAACTTGCTGTGTTCGTGGGCAGGCTGCAGCTCAAGAAGGGTGTGAGGACGACTGCAGCCATAAGAGAGAAAATTCGTCAAAAGAAAGAGAGGAGGATGAAGCAAGGCAAGCAGGTGCACCGTGATTCAAAATATACCGGCAGGCCAAGATCTTCAAGGTTCTAATGCAATGTGACTGAGTACTAAGGCATTGTGTTTAAAAAAAAAATACAAACGGTTTGCCCATGTATTATCCCAGTTTCATTTAAAATTCTCTGATACGCAATGTGGAAAATAGTTTCCTGACGTCGGCTGGTACGAGCTCGACGGCATTGCGTACGCATTTATCTTAACGTACAACAAATATTTTTACAGATTATTATACTAAAGTTTAAGACTAACAGTGCAACGGTACTCAACTTCCATTACGACTTCATACAAGCAAAATATTCTCAAGTCTTTAAGTGCTTAGCGATATGCGGGGGAAAATGCTCTTCTCATTCTAAGACCCTGTGTTGGTATTGCGAGCATGCGCATTTTATTGAGCAGCTCTGTGCAAGCATTACAATCGTGAACTCATCATTCATTTCGGCAACTTGCAACATGCTAAAAGATAAGAACATACACTAGTCAACACCAAATCTCATGCGAAATTTCCCGAATTCTGTGGACTGCAACACGAATCGCGTAGCTAATGTACTTCAAACCGAACCGAAAATAAAGGAGAAATACTAATTGGCTAAAAAATTACGTCACCGTGTATGAACGCTTTCCAACTTGTATTATGAACTGCGATCTCATGAGCGTAAGTTGTTTCGACGAATTATTCCTACAAGAAGACATTTCGGTCGACGAAAATGAAAGCTTTGCATTATTGGTATGCTGCAGTGCTTTAGATATGTATCCAAAATACGAAATCTTCGAAGAACTTGATGTCTCACTCTTGCTCATTAAGTCTAGACGATACAAACGTTCATAAAAAATAACTTATTTATGGCACTAACTGAAGGGTGAGCCATTCTATTATTCCTCGAAATCCAGGGTTGAATTATGAGATTATTTACAAGAAAATGAACATTCTTAACTAAAAATCCATTACAGAGTAAGCGGTAAATTTCATCTCACAAAACCGACCGAGTGTTGGCCACTCGCAACCTCATTCACAGGCAAGACAAATAATTTTCGTTTTCGGTTATCCAGCATAGAATTGTGAACAGTTTTGTCGTCACAATTAAGGTCATCGTAAGCAACTGATTATTTCTACACTATATATTGTTGCATTGCACAGCAAGCATCTCGGTGACAGAAATCCGATTGCTGTTTAAAATAACAATCTTAGAGAAAAGGTACGATGGTTACAGATGGGCCAGAGGAGTCCTCCATGTAAAGGCACTCTGAATGTCGACTTTGGATTTGTCCACTCCGGGAGGCGCAAATTTCGGGCTCCTTTAATCCTGAGCGAGAAGTCGCGTTGTGCCTGATCCCGGACGCAGTTGTTGTCCAGCAGCCATTGGGCGAGACCGTCAGCCATGGACCTGACCTGGACGCTGTATCTCTTGCGACCAAAAACTGCCGCTTACTCGGCTTCTCTGATCCACTGCCAGTGGTGTCTTTAGCATGTCTTTTGACAAGGAGCTTCTTGCATCCGCAACCTTTCAACTTAAGGACTTGGGTGCTGTCGGGGGCTGCGCCGCAGTAGTGAACGGTGCAGGGCGTCATGATGGCTGCGGTAGGTTTCGTCTCAGGCGTCGTGCTCGACTTGAAGGTCTGTCGGCACACGGGGCTTCCCAGCAACACAGACTGAGTCATCTGTAACAATAAATTCTTTAATCAGCATAAATATAGTTTAATTCGTTCAAACGCAAAATTTGTAGTACTATCAGGCAGTATAAGACGTGAAATTTGCGGTAGAAAATTACACTTGAAGCCACTGAACGCCGGTAAAAAAATTAATAGTATTAGCTTAAGCGTGGTCGTGTCTTGTAACAAAGCCGCGCTTCTTATGGCGAAGGCTAAAAAAAAGCATAAATGAAAATGAGTCAACATAATGAGCCTCAAATTTACTGAAGCCTAACATTTGAACAAATTGAAAGAAGGAACGGTAAAAAAGTAACATGTTTGACTCATCATCAAAACCTCATTAGCCAAGCTTCATTAAAATCATAACATATAATAGAAATAAGTGAACACAAAAATGCGATTTGCTTATTTGCGGAAGCTTAAAAACATGTGCTCAATAATTATTATGAAATATTATGATCAACAGCTAAACTAAGATCTAAATAATTCTAGTAAAAAAATCTACCACATAAAAAATTTACAGGAAACCGCTAATTTAAATATCAATCTCACAGAAAGAAACTGGGCCATGAGAAAATATAGTCTAACGTTTCATGTGACAACTATCGACTGTATTCATACACCAATATGTGTTGGGTCATGACCAAATCTTTCATTCTTTCACTTACGTGCACAATTAGCCTTTTTACCTCATAAAACTTTTATTGGTCAGTGCCACGCGTTAGAATGTTTTTACGTGTACTGTAAGTTTATGTCTTTGATTCACACACATTGAAATCGGGTACCACGTATATGCTACAGATCACTCGAGCTACAACTAATGAACCGGTAAACTGTGCAAGGTGAAATAACTAATCGGGAAGCAATATCATGCACACTGCTAATAACAAATACGACATAAAATCATCCACGGGAATCAAGGGTCGTTTGGAGGATGTCACACAGCTGAGCATGCGTAAGCGGAGGGATGCGAGATGGAGAAGCACACGGATTGCGGATACCTTAGCAGGGGCGCGTTGAGTGCACAGCTGTAGGCGTCCGTCGGGCGATAGTGTGGCATACAGAGAGCCAATCGCTGGAGGAGAGGCGAGGCGGAGGAATTTCATCCTGCCTAAGGAAGTTGAGCGTAGCAAGAGTGTAGATGAAGCTGAGGATGGTAAACTAGAGCCGCCATCCTCCTGCTTAAAGTCCGCACATTCTTGAGCAGACGACGACACTGTTGGAGACTCGTTCGCAATTGAGGATTTAGGGAGGCGAGGAGATGGTAACGGTCGATGGAGGATACAAGGTGATGCGCGGACGGGGGAATTGGGCGACGAGTTATCACGTGTATCGTCGGCGGAGTCGGAGTCAGCGGATGAACACTTTGATGAAGACGACGATGACGGCGGGGACCAGGCTCGCGTAGGGGGAGACGAGGGAGGCAGCACATAGTGTTCCTTGCTAAAGTCACGACCGGACACTAGCAGGTTCCTAAGGACTGAATTGAAGGATTTTTTAAGGCCATCGCGCGAGTTTTTATCGGGTCCTTCATTGCTCACCAGCAGCTGCTGTACGCAGGGCATGTTAGGCTTGACCAGAGGGCGGCCACTCTTGACAGGTTTTCTCAGGATAACGTTACCGGCGTTACCCTCATCAGCGGAGGGCGCAGAACACATGCGCTTGCAGGTCACCAGCTGCACATGAGATGAGCCCAGAAGTCGTGATCACTATAGATGATCAACATCCGGTGCGGTGACCTCCACAAAAGCATTTCGGAACACCAAGTAAAATATGGGCACCTGAATTACCGTACTAGCCGCAGAGATAAAGAATGTCGGTGATATTTAATTGACTAAGAGCTAATGGGAGACGCCGGAAATCACGTTGATCGTAGACAAATACGCCACACAAAATCAATTGTTGATCATTTACGTGACGATCAAAAATAAAATGCTTTGAAGGCGCAAAAATTATGAGGGAATTAGAAAGTTTAATTGCAGTTTTTTCGTAATTCTTATTATTAAAGTTTAAAAATAAAAAATAACTCAGAACTGAGCATGGAATATATCAACGGGGCAAATTCAATTTAATTTTTCTGATTTACGCGCATAAAATTATCTGCATAAACCAAAATTAGTGACTTCAACACGAAATAACTCTGGAGTCAAAGTAACCACAAGATATTCTGCCTTTTCATCGCAATTAAGTTAATAGATTGTTGAGGTAATAAAAAACATAATAACGACGACATTGCGGCAATAGGCTAGCATCTGACCTGATTTATCGTCATAACATGAACATGGCATAAAATTAAGTGCAGGTTATAAATAAAAGTAAATAAGAATTAATGCAATATCATGTGCCACGAACAGACAAGGCCACTAATGCTGACGACATCAGGTCAACGTAGGAACCTGGGGCCATACTTTCAAAACTCGCTAAGTGAACGTAAGTATTTACGCTCTATTTTCTTGTCTATGATTGGTGAATTTTACTTGAAAGGCCGTCAACGATTGGCTGATGAACTTACGATCTCTTAAATTTTTTTGAAAGTATAGGCACTGGGAGATGACAATCAAGAGGGAACCCAGAGAGTATACCTCAACACGGGACAATTTGACAATCGTTGACAATTTGACATATGCAGAAAATTGCATGAAATTCGTGAGAATTTTTTTTATTCAGGTACATAAATAAATCAAGTTGACGTGCCTAGAATTACTAAATACTTTATCCAACTTAGAACATACTTTATTTGACAAAAAAGTTCATTGTCTTATGAATGCAATTCAGTCACAATGAAAAAGAATTGCAGGGAGAACACGGCAGCATCCATCCATCCCTTCGAGAGTTCAATATTCGTTTCAAAATTAGTGGGGCAATAACATAAGGAGTTATCAGTTGAGTGGGCAGAAGGTATAAAAAAAAATCCGTTGCCACACATCGCTTGCTCGGGGTACCACACATTCACTTGATCCTGTCGCAACCAATGCAAAAATATGGCAATGTCTATTGAGAAAAAATACAAAATTTAGGAAGACTCACTTGCACGGAGGCATTGAACGGCGATGGAGGTCGCTTGATGGTCGGCACCGGTGGTTCATTGGGCGGTTTGTCAGACGTCGGCATGACCAGCAAGGAGGTGGACACAGCCGTAGCTGAGGTCGGAGCTCCAATGGACGCGCGATATTTAGGCTCCTCTTGGTCGGTCTTACGGGCGGGGAGAAAGCGCGCTGACGCAGGGGGCGTCTGGCCGCTCGAGGAGGACGGGCAAGCGTTACGGAAGGGGCCGTCCCTGGGGCCGCCCCTCGCCAGCACGGACGCGAATGAGGGCGACGAGGTCGGCTCCTCTTCATCCTCGTCGTCGTCTTCGTGCAGTAGTTGCTCGAAGTCCAGGAGTTTGTCTTCTATACGTAAAAATAGCATGAGGTTACGTTGGTCATAGTTCTTTAATGGCTCAGTCTTCTACAAACTTCTATCCTATTTGTTCTCATAATGAACAGAATAATTTGCAAGCAATGTTTCAATTAATATAAAAATATGAACGAATTTGAATCGCGGAATAATTTACAGTACTAACAATTCTTACTTCATGTCCAGTACATAATTCTTTGGTGCTCCCACTTATGTATACATTTTCAATATTTCAACGAGAACTTAAAAATTTGGACAACGAAGTGTAAGCTATAAATTTGACATCCGGAGCGAGAAGAAATAATAATGAAGCAAAGGAAAACAAAGAATGGAACAGAAATTTTTGCACCTTGAGGCGGTTGATGGCGCACCAGGCCCGGCCAGACTGTGTTGGGGTCAATACAAGACGCAGGAGCGTCCTGCCCCCTCTGAGGGGAGCTGATGCTCAGGTGTAGGAGTTCAGAGAAGGAGCTACGGCGCACCGAGTCCCTGTGGGACGAGTGGTCTTCATGCGTGCTACTGTACCTGCTGAGCAAGTGTAATTGTTATCGTCAACTAAAGTTATGATGTCCAAGACAGCAAAGTCCAAAAAGCATCTAGTTTACAGAATTTATTCAGAATTATTACAATTCATTTTAGCATTAAAATACCTCTGAACAATAATATTCAACTTAACATGAAACTAAAAAGTCAAACAAAACGAATGCCCCACCGATCTCCAGCAGAGGTGAAGAGTCCACCTTCAAATCCACTGTCGGGGCTGAAGACGTTGTCGCAAGATTCGATGCTGCGTTTGCCGTGACTGCAGCTTACGCTGCCGTCATTGCTGCTGCTGTTGCTGCAGCAGGCTTCCTCTGCTGCAGGGCTCCACATAATAAGGCTTTCATCTTCACTGAGGTGGAGTAGAGGGGCCCCGTTGTCCATGTCATCGTCATCAAGGAAATCTTCAGTCTGAAGAAGAATGCGACAAAGTTAATGAGGTCTTCACCATTAAGTATGGGACTCCAGCCGTCAGCCAAATTGATTTCTGAGTAGTATCCTCTTTACATGATTTTGTACTTATGTCGATCCAAATCTCATCACTCGGTACGTCTTGTAACTTGATAATGAATGATTGACGCATTCTAAACGTTGTTTACGAATTAGAAATGTTCGATATAATAAAAAAAAATAACAAGAAAATTGTCAATAAAACAAACTTCCAGATATCTGCAAATTTAGCCAAGAATGCATCATGAATGTCACGGAAAAACTACCTCTGAAAATTGTTCAGAGCTAATCACCAATTGAAGATTAGCGGAGTTATGCCGTGGTTTTCATGTTAATTGCAGCTGACTACTACAAGAGCGGCTTCTCACCTTCAAGAAAGGTGAGTTATTGATGAAGTCCATGCTTTCATCCAGGCTGGGAGATGAGCTCTGCTGTTGGATGTCCTCGAAGAGGTCCAGACTCCCACTGTCACACGACGAGTCAAGGAAGAGGTATTGTTCCAGGGTCAGCGGCTCAGGCGACAATAATTCTTCTGTACACGCCTTCTTTGTAGGCGTGTCCTGCTCATAATAACCATAGGTCAACACTAATAATTCTAACAATATTATTATTAATTATTAATAATACTAAAATCGATAGTAACATCTATGTGCGACTAATCAATAATAAGTCAAATAATAAATAATAGTACAAATTGCATGATGTCTCATTATATTTATTGCTCAGAAATAATACATAGCAAATAACCAAACAAAAGTTACATCTGATTTAAGAAGAAAAATTTAAAACTCTCTTTTATCAACGATCTTTGCAGGGAAATTCCTTACACATGTAGGAAAGTATCAAGGGAATGATTCATTTCTTTTATCAATAATTTGTTCAATTCAACGGCAAATAAAATGATGATACATAGTAGCAACTTGAATTAAAACCTTAGTGTAGTACCGAAAACTCGTTTGATAATGCCATCACGAACATGAAGGACAATCGTTTATTTTAAACAAATTCTGCAGACAATAACGTTTGCTTGAAATAATGGCTAAAAAAGTATGGAAAAATTAAAAGAATAAAATGTGAAATTGAGCCTGAAGGCTACGAATTAGTTGAAAAATGAAAATGTCAGTGGGAGAGTCGGAGGAGATGAAATATGACTTGACAGCGACTGGTAGAGTTTTTCCACAGCCATCCTACACGGCAACAATAATCGCCCCAGTTACCTTGACAGACGCTGCGAGACTCGACTTGACGTTCCAAACACCAGCTGCAGATTGGCTCAGCAGAGGCGAGGATTGTTGTTGGTCAAATAAAGGTATGGAGTCTTCAATGGATTTGCTGAACACGGGACTCTGTTGCTTCAGATCATTAGTGACAGTTATCGGATCGCTCTGAAAATTATCCGAACCAAAACGAACTGAATCGGGCTCGGTTACTTCGTCCGCAGTTGAAATTCCGAAGAAAGTATCATCAACTGCTGTTGACTCTTGAAAATCTTGAGTGAAGAGTGCCAAATCTGTTGTATGTTGATCAGAGTTCGCGGGACTTTTGCTTGCGGTTTGACTGGTGAGGGGACCACCAAACGCTGCTTGGTCGCTTACGATGGCAGCTGAGGCAGTGAGGTAAGAAGTCTCAGGCAGAACAGCGGCTGCGTCGTCCACGTAAAGAGGATCGTAAGAACACTCAATGCTGGGGCCGTACGGAGTGGGGCTCGAGGAGGGGATCAAGTTGGGGGAAGCATGGTTGGAGATGGGGGGGCTGCGACTGGCCAGCAACTTGAGGGAGCGTTTGCCTGCACATAAATTATCTAACTTTAGTCGTAATGATGATGAGGATTAACATTATACGAGAATACGAACGTTATCTTCATCACGGAGGCATTGATGTGTACGTCTCGACTCTAGGCCATATTAACAATACAAATTCGTACTTACTTTCATACTGATGACATCAAAAATTATGACGATATAGTTCATCTCAAGTAGCTGCGATAAAACAGCCATTATCATTTCAATGCAATCACAAGAAATGCTTCACCAAATTTAATTTTGCTGTATCGTCCCAGAAGTGTACACCACACGATAGGAAGTTAAGATTATCCATAGACCATGTCGAGATTAAGCAGCGACTGCTAATAAAATAGAAGGCTGACCTGTGGAATGTGAAGAGCTAGCCGAGTTGTGTGAGTTAGGAAGAGCAGTAACTGTCATTGCCAGTACACCAGCAGCAGCACCAGCACAGTCTGCACCAGCACCCTGCAGTACCAAGAACATCACCCTCACTTACTCTATCTAGCGTAGTTATCAAGTCAAAGCGTATAATCAAACGCATGATTTATACAGAAACTCGAGATATGCACGTGCAAAACTCAGTAACTTTGGTAAGCTGGAACGGCGTTCATCTCTCGTTCAATAGTATTTTCTCACCTCGAACTAGCTAACAATCTTCACAGCTCCGACAAATTCAACAAAATAGATATCAGAGTGTTAAGTTAATTTTCGTTATTTTACAGAAGAAAGTTAAATACGCTATCAAATTGAAAAACGTTCTTCAAAACTATATATGAATATAATAGAACAACGCCCCCGATGTTAGTGAAGAGCGCAAATAAGAGAGCTTAAGTTACCGTACTCCAACCGCTGGTGTTCAGTAGAAGATCGCAAGAGTGAAGAACAACATGACAACTCCGATAAAATAAGCGTCACACAATACGAGAATCAACTGCGCAAGATTGATGCCACCCAACGGCAACTCAAGCACCTTCATGCAGCCGATGTGGATGAAGTTATTGTTAGTTATAGCTGATGTATACCCATTATAACTTCAGGTAAGTAACCTCTGGCGCCAGGAAATTCCGCACAGAACAACACACCATAAATAGAAAGAAGCAAGAATCGGAACAAAACTAGTTAGAACATGGGAGCTTCACTTAATGAATGGGTTCATGATTATATTGTGATGATGAGAGAGAAATATAGAATTATTATCAAGGCACTTCAAAAGCCAACGAAAACGACTGAACTCAAATGTTAATGAGATAAGATGTTAAAGAATAGGTCCAAGATGCTGATACGCGGTAGAATGAAGCAAATGTTGAGCATGACACATTCAACCAAGATCAGCCAAAACACATACAAGGTAGCGACTGCAAGTTAGATGGCATAATGTGGTCGATATGACAGTATATTAGATTCTAGTAAGTATAATGTCCCTACAATGTGTAGTATATTAGATTATAGTAAGTATAATGTCCCTGCAATCAACAACAATGTGTATTATATTAGACCCTAGTAAGATACCAAATAATGCGATAAGTTAGAGAATAAGAACTGACCTCAAGAGGGAGAGAGTGGCGAGGTGACGCTGAGGTAAGACGCGGCAGCAGCTGCACGCAAGACAGCACCACGCCAGCTTCCTCTACTCCACTGCACACACACCGCACATTTTTATACCACTGCACACTGCGCCAATAATTCCACTGCTTATAAATAGAATGACGTGTGATTTATTAAAGAACGCTGATCCCAGTAACGTTCGTCTAAGAAAACCGCGCTGGCACAAGGAAAACCACTGCAGCGAAACTCTTATCAGTCGGAGACTAAACTTTGGCAAAGAAAACACTACTCGACCCATGAAGCAGTGTCAACCCGGCGTAAAAGGACTTTTCTAGCTTGACCATTCCTGGCCACAAATAAAATGGTTTACAAACAATCGTCAGTAATCGTTATAATCTTTTCGATTTTATTCCTGTTAAGGAAGATGATGCACGTACATAAGCAATTAAAATCAGAGTCGGCGAAATCTGGCTCCCCATTAATAAGATTTAGAGCGATTTAATAAAAATTGCTTCGCGACAAGTTGTGATTGTACTTATGAGCGCTAGTTTCTGATGAGGGGAGAGCTTGTGAGAGGAGACGTCTGTATTTAACTAAATCATGCTGTTAAAGTAATACAGAAACGACTTCGGGATAAGTTAGGTTTGTTCTTATGTCTTCTGCATTTAGCCATACTTGAATACTGTAGAGATAATCCAATCACAATCGTAACCTAGGTCAGATAAGGCAACCAAAAATGTCATCATTTGCGCCGGATCTACCGCGAGATGACAGCTATGTAAGAATGTGAATGCTTCACATATGTATGTGGAAGACGCCGCTCATCCACGGGTCTTCTCGAGCCCTCTTGGTTGGCAGAGATCCAACACTGCGCGAGACGATACACGGTCTACCAAATCATAGAGAATAGTCTTGTATAAATCACGGGTCTTCTCGAGCCCTCTTGGTTGGCAGAGATCCAACACTGCGCGAGACGATACACGGTCTACCAAATCATAGAGAATAGTCTAGTATAAACTCTTCTTGGAATTTGGAATATTTTTCAGGGCACATTTTCTAAAGAAATGACACGAAGACGATGCAACACTACAACGATATCAAAAATACTCACGTTTTATACTCCCGCTAAACGTTTCCGCGGCACATGGAACTGGCAAGCGAATACCTAATATATTGAAATTATGATAATTTCTGACAGTTTGGGCTTTTTGATTTTCAAATGATGGGTACACTTGGCTTAAGTTAGGCCGTAGTGTCTACAAAATATTCAAAACACAAAATTGATTGAAAAAAATTTAAACCCAGATTTGAAAGTCCAATGCTCTGAAGAACTTTCTGAGTACATACAAGCTCAATTAAGTTAAATAATAAAGACGTCAGTTAATCGAAAGGTTCCCTGTGTAGTAGTGAGACAAGATCTGCGAGGCGTGCTATACATGTCGCCCTAATGTTCACATCCTATACGAACAAGACGAATCCTGACCACAGGGCCTATACTTTCAAAAAAAGTTGAGATATCGTAAGTTCATCAGCCAATCATTGACGGCCTTTCAAGCAAAATCCACCAATCATAGATAAGAAAATAGAGCGTAAGTACTAAGTAGGTACTTACGTTAACTTAAAGAGTTTTGGAAGTATAGCCCCTGCACACCATGCGATATATTTCAATGCAACATCTACATGTCGATTATTATGAACGGCAATGGTAGGCTCGTCAGCAGCAAGGCGAACAGTTCTAGTGAGGCACGCGATCGATACACACCGAGAGCGGTCGTCACGACGACCTTCAGGGACGGCATCAAGGTTTAGTTTAACTGGGTGATGGTTAGTTTAACTAGGTGATGGTCATGCGATAACTATAGTGATAAAATTTTAGAATTTTTCGTTTAGCGAATCAAAAGCCCATGAAACTTATTTTCTTTATTCATGATAATAACGCAAATGGTGTGTAGCGCAAGATCACCTAAATTTTGCTTCGACATAAAAATTCGGCCACTCAATATTTCTATTACGTTCAGTGTCATTGGTGAATCCGATTCAAGGCCCAGCGGGAACTCCACAGGAGTTGTTCACTTTTAATTGCATGAACTAATGCCTGGTACAGACCTACGCGGATTCAAGGTAGCTTCAAGTGTGAGTTATAATCAAGAAAGCAAATTTTAAATAAATTCCCAATGAACATAACAAATGCAAACAACGACATACAATTTGGAAGAACATTTCTGAAGATATTATATATCTTCATATATAGGGGTTAGACAAAATAAGGGAAACGCCAAATAAATTCACAAAATATATTTTAGTATGGTGCAGGTCCACCTTTTGCGGCAGTTACAGCTTCAATTCCCCGGTGTATTGATTATACAAATTGTGAATAGTTTCCAAGAGAATTTCAAGCCTTTCTTCAGTTACAACTCCAACTAGATCTTTTAACGACGATGGCGGCGGGAATCGACTTCTGACTTGCATCTCTAAAATCGACCATAAATGCTAGATAATATTCAGGTTTGGTGATTGTGGTGTCCAAATGAGATGCTCAACTTCATTATAATGTTCATGGTGCCATTTCTTAACAATTCCAGCTGTTTGGATCGTGGCATTATCATTTTGAAATATGGCGTTCCCCAACTTGGTCCCCCAAAATTCTCAAATAGTCACGACTGTTAATTCTTCCATGAAGAGAAATCATTGGTCTGCCGGATATCCCAGAAATAGCACCCCCCGATCATTGCAGAACTCGCCCGGTATTACGGTTGGGAGGAGGCAGTCGGGATTAAATGACTTTTCTGGCTGTCTCCAAACGTAAACTCAGCCAGAGGTTGGAAACAAGGTGAGTGGTGATTCGTCAGAGAAAATCCCATTTTTACACTGATCGAGGGACCAATTGTTTTTTGCACCACTCTAAACGCTTCGCAGCATTTTGTATTTGAAACCAGAAGTTTACTAATTGCAAGTCTTTCATAAAATATAGATCTGCGTACAAATAATGCGTGAAATAATGTCAAGTGAATGCAATATATTGGAACTGAAGGATGCCATTTAGGAAGACTTCACGAGCAATGTAAAAGGATCTTTAGCTTATGAACGAGTTGTGCGTGCGGTTGTGCAAAAATCGTCGCTGGCAAGGCACCGGCACAGCTCTCAATACATGCAGATTAGCCACAACTCTCAAGCCTCATCCAACGTCATATGCGGTGAGGCGACGAAGCCTCGGCCAACGTCATACGGTGAGGCGACGAAGCCTCGGCCAACGTCATGCGGTGCAGCGACGAAGCCTCGGCCAACGTCATGCGGCAGGAGATACGTGGCGAGATAATGGCGGCTAGTGGGCGCTCTTTAGCGATCTCTCATACATCATCTTTCCTCAAGACTCATCCTCTATTCCGTCTTGGTTCACCATCATAAATTACGAAAGTTCATAGGCGTGGATTAGTCTTTATTGTACCCTAATAAATCCAATAAATTTGGAACAGAAAAAACATGAACACGCGCTTTATTTACGTTTCAACTCTTTGATTACAAGCAGCCTGGATCTCATGTCAATTAAGCTTGTCAAAAGATTTTTCGTGACCTGTTAAGTCAGCGGTTGGTCCTTTGGTGAGTAGCTGATATTTGCTCAAAGTTGTCTAGAGAAAAAAAAAACATTTTTTCATTTCAAGCAAAAGCGTTACGCGTCATCATTTTCAGTGGAAATGTGCACAACGTAAACCAATGCAGCAGTCACACCACATCTCGTTCATCACATTCACAACACAGCACCACATGTGCCAACACGGCGGAGAAGCGTGCATAGAAGCGCCATCGCTCAAGCGTTTACACGCGGAATTTATAAGAATAACGCACTTCAGCTCCATGCTTATGCTAGAGTCTCTAGAGACGAGCCTAGATCCAATTAAATGAAACTTAAAAATCCTTGGTTCATTCCATTTTAATTCACTACATTCACGCAATGAATACTTCACTTCATTATGCTTGGATTCATCCACATTCATTCATTGAGTCAATAATTCATTTAGCGAATGACTTCACTACCCAAACAAAATTTAGAGTCACCCCAGCTTCTGGTAATCCAAATCAGAAGCTGCCGCGTCGGTAAATTTTTACAGGGTATTTGATTGATAGTTTAGCAGTGCACCCAATGACCTCGTACGCAGTACATCATTGCCAGTCTAGTGAATGAGAGCACACCATTACTCCCTCATTCTAGTACACGAAGCGAGGGCACGGCCACGCAAGGACGTGTGAGGTCACGCGCTCGGGTCACTTTGCGTGACCTTGCTTGCTTATCGAACGGCGCGGCCCTGCGCCAACCCTCAATGAAATGCCAGCCAGCCTCCCACTGTGCATCCTTGCCACCGCTGCTGCTGCTTGTCACTACAAATGTGCAGACATTTAACGATTATCATCGTAGTTGTAACTTGTGTAAGCAGCACGATGCAAATAATATTCGACCAAAACAATAACGTTTCCTGTTCATTGCCACTGCTGCTTGTCACTACAAATGTGCAGACATTTAACGATTATCATCGTGGTTGTAAGCAGCACGATGCAAACATTCGACAAAACCTATAACGTTTTCTGTTTATCACAAATAATGACTTAAAATATTAAAAATTAGGTACTCTGAGTTGTTCTCAGCTGAGGGGTGTCTCGAAACGAGCCAAGTACACATAACAAGGGATTTCTATTGAATGTTATTTTAAAGCGTGGCTGCAATTTTGGCAATGTGGTTGAGGTAGGGGCGCTAATATATTCTTTAGTACCATTATAAATGAGACGCACGATATCAGCGAATGTACATATTCGAGTGTTGGCACAAGAGCAGACATGTTTACCGTTCTGTCTGCACGACAGAGCAGAGCTTCGCTATCAGCCATGATAATAGAGAATGCTAGGAACAGTACTCAGATGCTCGCAGGTCTTGACAAATCAATAATGCGGCTTGTCTTAGAATATCTGGGCTCCAAATTATAGATTTTTATCAGTATGACCGAGTGAGTTGGGGTGGGGGTTACGATCAATAGCTCAATTAATAATTATAATATGAAAATTATTACAATTATCTAATAATTAGTATATAATTGTAATCA